CAGGAAAGACAGAAATGCATCATGCTTTGAACTTGAATAAAGTGGCGCAATCCTGCCCACTCCGACTTCTAGACCTCCCGCTTCGTCTTGAATGGGAGCCGATTCAGTGGATCATGATCTTTCAGGCGAACTTTGGCGCCAAAGCACAGCATTTTGGGGGGGGAATCTCCTTTTGAGGAACCCAGTATGCGGACCTGTCCTGTGCATCCCTGTAACCAACAGGTTGCTTCCAGCAAGTAATTCGTCATGTGAGGTACCATCTACAACTCTCTCAGAGCCGAGCCAAGCGATTGGACTTTACTCGCGCTTCTTTTCTGCGCCGCAGGCACCTGAGTCACCATGCCAGAGGTTGTACTTAGCAACGCGGGGATAGGAACTTGCGGCAGCACCCAGTTCTGTGTGTAGCCAGCTGATCCAACACGGGGTCTGCTTCAGTACCACACAGAGGTAATCAGGCCAGTCTGCAGCCACAGACAAATGTGGTGTCTGGGTGTCAGCGGAGCAATGTGCGCAGTGACTTGTCTCCCTATCTCAGGGGCTGGTGCCTGCCTGCACATGTTTCAGCTTAAACCTCTGTTGTGCGAGCATTGTCCTTGCCGAATAGCTGTGAACGTCCATCCTTTCCAGAAAAGGATCTAATAATCTTAGTCAACGCTTGGAATCGATCAAGACGTTCACTTAACCTCGCTTCACTTGAGAGTTTGAATCCCCACAACCGGTGCTGCCAAGCCAACATCGTGCACACAACCTTCCTTGATTGGGTAGAGGATGGTTTTACTCACCCCACAAGGAGCATGCAAGAGATATGGGATGCATATCATCCTATGGGGAAGTGGTTTGGGGATTGTTTGGGGGGGTCACAGTCTTTGCATGAAGCGTTGCAGTGCTCTCCAAAGAAACCAATGACCTCCAGGCAACACGCTGATGCTGGATTATTCATGGCCTTTGTCAAACCCATTTGGTTGTTGTGGAGGCCGGTGGTGCATAGAGACCGTCCCTGTCGATTTGCCCCTGCAAATGCGAACTGTCGAGTCCTTGGCCCCTCGAGCATTCAAACCTAACAAATACAGCCAGATCTTGAGTTTCACCCGTCAATCAAGACTCTACTGGAGGTCAAGGTCTAACTCTAAGGGAAACTTTGTTGGCTTTCTGCTCCCCTGCTAAACGTTTAAAGTGGTTTGATGGAAAACCCACTAGTTGGCAAAGAGTTAAAGTCCTAACATCCAAGCAAAATTCACCAAAGAAACCGTAGAATAATCGCTGCATCTCTGCCCTCACGAGCTGCCTGTCGGAGAAGTTCCTGCCCCCTGGTTGGCCCTCTCACTGATGTGCCTGTACAGGTGCATGGTCCAGCTGCAAGGTCAACGCGCCATTCGGCGCCATGAAATAGGCCAGGAGGTCTCTTCCACAACATCCATGCGTCGTCTTAAATTAGGGAGACCCTCCCATACGGCGACGTCCCTTTGGCTTCCCCATAAAGCTACCGAAAGGGTACCCTCAACAGAAGACACATCCATATGAGCCTTCGACGACATGTTTGGTTGTTGTTAAGGAGAAGGGGAATTGGTCGGGGTCTTGGGGATTTATGGGACATCAGGGAGTCACGGAGCAACCAACACATCTGTCAGTAGTCACTCACATCTCCGTCCCTCGCAGGGACTTCTGCTGATCGAACAAAACGTACTTTTGCGCTGGGTTAGAACAATCATAGAAACCAGCTACAGGAAATTCTACAGGACACTAGCTAAATTCCCACCAAAATCAGGGGTTTCCGGTAGAACTTCCTGTAGTTGGCTTCTTAGAAACAAGCAACTTGTCTCCGGGTCGGCTATCACATATTGCCAGCCGCAGTCTGGGCTCCAAGAACACCGCGAGATCCCCCTAGGTCATCAAGCCCTGAGTGAACCGCCCGCTTTTATCGGCATCAAGCACCTCGATTTTTGGGGTTCTCCAAGTTGCTCGCAAAAGCCACGACGCGCAATCCAACCGAAGGGCTCCGGAAGACAAAAATCACAAAGTTCAGTTTTGAGTCCGGCCCCTCTGGTATGAACAAGCAGAGGCGCCCTTGTTGTATTGCTCATGAACCAGGGGAATCACCAATGAACAAAACCACCAACCAACACTATAACATGTTGGCTCGTTCAACTTGCCATGTTTGAGGTCACGCGCTACGGTAGAATGAAGGGAACGCCCAGGTCTCACTTCGGAAATCCCTTGGAACTAGCACCTAGCCATTCCCAGCCGCCAAAAAGGAAAAGCAGAACACACCAAGTCCTTTTAGGGGAAATAGATGGCCCTGGTAGATGATTAAACCACCAGGTAAACAAGAGCCACTACTTTTTTCTGCCAAAACAACCAAAGAGGACATGGTTTTGAACCAACGGGGGCAATTGGACACTTCGAACTGCCGCCCTTGCGGCAGTGCGACCCCCCGGCCCAGCAGATCCATCTATCCATCTCTCGCGTTTCGCACGCCGAAGCCTGCAACCCAGAGGTCGAAGGTGCCAAGCGTGATGCATCCATCAGGCCCTTGAAAGCTGCTCACGCCACACTAACCCCTTCTGTGTATAATATTGTTACGTTTGAAAGCGTTCAGGAAAGCACGCGCCCAGGCCAAGTGTGGTCACCCAAGCGGCCAAAGACAGATGTGACCTTTCTTAGAGCAGAGCGACGTGAGAACCCCCGACAATTTGACATGGAAGGAGATTGTCCGCTTAACCAAAGTCGCAGGATTATTTGATATCCCCAATTGAGTTTGTTTTGAGGGTATACCCCTTTCTGGGTTGGTTACATGGGGAAACCGGAAGAAAAGCCACCATTGAAACTTTGAAACATCCCTCATTCAGGACCAAACTTTATCTCTTCACTGCGCTTGGCGCAAATTGCAACCAAGCATGTGATTCTCAAGGCCGCAGGTTTTCCTCAGCTTTTGCTCCCAAGAGTTTCAGATGCCGAATCTTTGGTTTATAGTGAAGCCAATGACCTGGTTGACGTTGGAAGGGGAGCAAACATTGATTTATTTTATTTTAGCAAACATTGATTTCAACCACTAAACCACCATCAGCAAAAAGGTAAAAGGTTTCCCAACCACAACCCTGATGAAAACCGGTGCCAAGCGAGGTCCCAGCTATTTTCCAAAAGCTTCAGGGCCCGGGGTTCGGATCCGAGACTTTGGCCGCCCAAATTCTGGGGGCCCTGAAAAAAGAGAGAGAGGTTGATTTGAAGAAAAACACCCGCAAACGCCGCAAACCCTTGCATTTTGAGGATGTAGATGTCTTGGAAAAGGGACAAGAAAACAACCGGGGAAATCCCAGCACAAAGGGAAACCTGACACAAGTCCTACATGAGACCAAACCCACCGACCACTGCTCTGGCTGCGGGCTCTTCGGCGCGCATCCGCACTCTGCTCAGAAAAGTCGGGCTCCGAGCCAGGGCTCTGAGTGGCAACTTCCTCATTCTGAACGGGTTCCTTGTTGATTCCAGAAGTTCACCAAAAAATACGTGGGAAAAGCCTGGTTTGAAGAAAAGACCCCAAAATTACGTGGGAAAAAAGCTGGTTTGAAGAAAAGACCGATGCTTGAAAAAGAGAGGGAGTGAGAGAGCAATCAACCCCCAAATTTGAGCGTCATTCGATCCTCCAAAGGGGCAAGGGACGGCCATTGAAAGGCTTGGCTCTGAAATTTGGTCTCTTTGAGGCTCCAAGATATTTTCAATGTTGCATGGAGGCCAGGATAAGGCTTGCTTGCAATTCCTAAAGTACTGCATCATTGCAAACCTTGACCGAGAATGCCTACCTAGCACGGGTCCAGCTCAGGGGCAACATCACTTGGTATCTAAGTATTGTACAGTGCGTGCCTGGTTAGGGGGACGCGTTTGCCTTGCAAAAGGACACCCAAATGTGGTACTTGTTGGGTGTCCACTATTGCGACGTACCAAGGGACAAAGCCTAAACCCATAAGAAGAGTTCTTGGAAGGAGTTCTCTTGACTGTGAGATGCATTCCGTGGGGCCACTTCGAGCGAATGGCTTTCCGGCCAAATAGGTTCTGCACTCTCGGCCCAGAGGTCACAGTGTGGCACTCGGCGCCTGGGGATGCATTGTTCAACCCCCTCAATGGTTAGGGCTGGATAAGCCTGCAAATAAGCAAGCAACCCACAAATAAGCAAATAAACTCTTGCTTGCCAGCTTGCTTGCTTGCTTGCTCGCTTGCTCGCTTGTTTGCCTGCCTGCCTGCCTGCGTGCTTGCTTGCTTGCTTGCTCGCTTGCATGCTTGCTTGCTTGATTGCCAGCTTGCTTGCTTGCCAGCTTGCTTGCTGGATTGCTCGCTTGCTTGCTTGCTTGCTTGCTTGCCTGCCTGCCTGCTTGCTTGCTTGCCTGCCTGCTTGCTTGCTTGCTTGCTTGCCTGCCTGCTTGCTTGCGTGCTTGCGTGCTTGCTTGCGTGCTTGCGTGCTTGCGTGCCTGCGTGCTTGCGTACTTGCGTGCTTCGGGTCGTACTCGGCACGTTAGTAACCGCCGGTGTTTTCCCGGGTTGGGGAGTTCCGGTGCGAGAAAGGAAATGCCGCTATCAAGGGCGCCATGACTAAACATGCAGGCCGGTGAAAGAAAGCTTTCGGTGAGGTGGCTTGCCAAGGAAGGCACAAACACACCTGCAAAAGAGTTGGCAGTCTGCTGGATCAGCTCATGTTTAGGGCAGTGCCCCTGCCAACAGCTCCGTCATGCAACTTGCGTGTTTACCCTTTGTAGGTTGAACATAACGGGCTCGCAGCTCCACCATTACAGGGGCCGGCACTTTACCCTCAAACTCAGTTTCTGGTGGCCTTGCCGAAAGCGAGGAATTCAGCCAAGCTGGCTTGGATGAACCTGAAACACCTACAACACAAGCCAAAGATGCTTGAGTGGTCATTTTGGTGTAAATCTTAACAGGGGACCCTTTGGTGGACATCATTTAGCTGGGGATTCATGTTCATCAACCACTTTGGAGGTGGATCCAAGCACCTCGCCTCACATCTGCAGCTGTCCAGGGGCACCCGCGGCCCCTGGCCGTGCTCGGGGAACGGAGATAACGGGAGAATGAGCGTGAAACGTCACAAAGGCCATGTGCTAGAATATGAAAGCCGTCCAGATTGAAACCATATAGGTTGAAAGGCCATGTGCTAAAAATGTCGGTTTCAAGCTGGTACCATGTGATTGAAACCGCCCCCTTTTGTGGGGCCTCATGAACGCACGCGCAAAAACCAAGCTCCGGCATGCGGCATGCTCATTGGTTCATTGCAGGAACGTCGTTTCCTCCCTCGAGCAAGGTCCCTGCCGATCCCCCAAACGCCATTCATTCAGATTCACAAGTTCGCCGCCGAAAAAAAAAATACTGCCAGCACTTCGCCAGTTGAAAGTGATCCCAAGGACCTTCATCCTGGGATTGGGCGAGCTCAATCCTTAAAGCTCATTGCAATCGGGTCGGTGAGTCAACTGCCTGGTAAACATCAGCCGCAGAGGGGTGAGATGACGAGCGCTCGAGCAGCCCGAACCTTTGACGACCAACTCGATCCGGTATCTTGGAGTACAAGACTTGGTTGACGTTGGAAGGGGAGTAAACATCTAAATTTTAGCAGTTAAGTAGAGATGTCCAACTAAACCACAATCAGCAAAAAGGTAAAATGCTTCCCAACAACAACCATGAAGATGCGCTCTAACATGCATGTCAAGTGACAACTTGTCCATCAGCAGACATGGCCGAGCCAGGTTGACTTGATCGCGAGTGCGCGTCTTCACAAACGTATCTGTCAATGCCGCAATACTTGGCTTCCGCGCACATGGCATCCACAAGGAAGCACCCGAGGGCAAGTTTACTTGGACTTATGCCCATTAGTCCTCTTACAAAAAAAAATAGAAACGCTGGTGGATCGGTGGACGTGTCCCTTTCTGAGGACACCTTGTTGCCCCTCCGCCCCTCTTAGCTTTTGAGGGAAACCAATGGGAAGCCGCCCATTTGGCCATGGCCATGGGTCAAAATCCATGTGTCTCGCTAGGTGTCAAAACCCATGTGTCAAAACCCACAGCCATGTGTCTCGCCTCTTGCGTCGATTCAACTCGTCGACTCGCGCCTTGCAGCAGTCCGTTCCGAATCTGCGAGGAGACATCGCCCACAGCGCCAGGTCCTCGCGGGGCAACTTCTGCTGCGCATAGTGAGCCAAAAGAAACGAGGGAAATCCCAGAGGTGAGGAAGCCTGGTGATCTGCCGTAACTGGGAGCACGGACCTAGTTTGAGCCTGGTTGGTTGTGACCAAGGCTATACTTGAACTAACACCTTTTGGACCTGTTGGCGAACTTGTGACCACAACCTAGCACCTTGCCACGTAGGTTGAACATCCAAGTAAAGGGAAGCTCGAGTTGGGAACACTCCCAATACCCCAATGGATGTAACGTAGGCTTCCCTCAAGGATTGAAAGCGCCCCAAATTTTGCTCAGAGGCGTGCTTTTCTAGGTCCACCTCAGCTGCATTCGATTAGAGCTAAGCTTGGGCGGCTTGGTTTTGGAATGTTCCGGCCCCTTTCTATAGATGTTCCCGTTTCCCGCGTTCCACTTAAGAATGGCAGGAGCCGGGTGGAATCTCACTGAGAGACCCTAGGGTGGTGTCTTAGTTGAGGGCCCATTCTAAGAAGCCACTTTTGGGGAGGTGGGGGAGGTAGGGGAGGGAGGCATTGGGATCATGATTCCTGAGCGGACACTCGAACCACAAGGGTTCCCGAAACTCGTCGTGCCCCCACTGCGTTGAGCTTGCTGGCCGAAAAAGGTGGAAACTTCTTGGGCATTGACTAAAATGACAACAGTTTACCCTCCCCCAGGCGATTCCATGGAAGGTCCCAGGACACCTTTGGGAGACTTGGTTCCATTTACTGAGGCCTTCTGGGAGCTTCCGGCTGTTAGTCTGAGGGAGTGTGAATTTTGTTAACTCGGTAGGTAAGTTGACCCAACAGGTTTGCATCCAGGAAGCCGTCTGGAAGCCAAACTGGAACAGTGCTCCATCTTCTGGAGCAAAAACGTTGGAGACGCGACCAAACTACCTGTACTGTCCGCAAAGCCACCGTTGAGGAATTGAAGAGTAGTCGATGTGTGGCGTGTGGTCCTAGTTCTCGGTGCTTATGAAGCAAAACACATCGTCGACCATGGTGCCGCATTCTTAATGGAGCGTTCCATGGAATCGAGTTGTCATGCCACATGTTGCGAGGGCCTTGACACGCGACCAGCCAAACCAAGTTGGAGTTCCCAGCTCCAGCAAAAACCAGACCAAAGAGTTGGCCTGAGTGCTCTCCCAGTCAAAGTTATCCTTCCGCCAAGGAGTCGACGTGCCACAAAATACTTTCATATGTCTGCCGCTGGTTTGTGAAAGTTTCCTTTCTCGGTTTCCTCTCGGCTTGCTTCCTGTTGGGATTTGTATGGTTCCCTTCCCTTTGTATGCTATAACATGACGACTTTTGGTGCTACAGTACACCTAGAATCGCGTTTGAATCTTTAAGGCCATGGTACAGGTGTCGAACGCTTCCCTTTCAGAAACGCGCATTGCGCAGCTCGCGCATGCATCACGCATCCGCACAAAACATGTACCAGATGAAGACTGAAAGCAGCACTGGCGATGGCCATGCTGACTCGTGCAACCCGTGTCCTTCGAATACCACTTCCTCGTCCGCCTCCAAGAGGCCGTCTTTCAATTTTGCTTTGGGCTTGATTCTGACTTTCTTTCTCGTCACCTTTTTCTTGATGGATGTTTCTGGGCTTGTGACGCCTTCTTCAGGCTCGGCGTCACTCCACTCAGCCGTCGGCGCTTCGGCTTCCGCGGGTGCTTGCTTTCGGACCTCGATCTCAGCCGGCGCTTCGTTGGCCTCCGGCGGCCGAAGTTCGGCCTCTTTTTCCAGGCTTTCGGGACCTGGTGCTTCTGGGCGACGCGGTGCTTCCTTCCTGCACGCAAGGCTGGGCAACCTGTAAAAATCACATTTTTTACATGTGTGGTGAGGAGAGTGAACCGTCGGGAAAACAGACGTCACCTGGAAGCACATCCATTGCAAGCATGCCAGCTCGGCCTGGTTTTGCGCGTCTTTGTCATCTGGCTCTGTTTGGGCGCCGTCCCAGTTTCCTTCGCTTCACTCGCTTCATGTCCTGCTTCTGGGCTCTTTTTTGTCCTTGGCTCATTGAACGCCCGACTAATATGCGGAGCACAGGCACTATGTCATGAGTCAGGCGCCTTGCAAGCAGAGTTGGTCGCAAGCAGAGTTGGTCAAGTAATTTGACTTCGCACCCAAACTCGCTTGCGATGCCAAAATCTGGACAAGAGTCTTTCCTGTTTTCGTCGTCTTCGTCGCGTCTTTCGTCTTGCCCGTCTCCGAGTGTTCCGCGCGCGGACTCATAAGGTAAAAATTCCGCGAGTGCCACTTAGTGGACCTTAGGAAGCTGCGAAGTTCGATGAGAAAGCAGAGCAAAATGCCCCTTCCCTACCCCCAAACAAATTGACTCCACATCACACAAAGACCCATTAAGCCCCAAAGCTGTTGTTGAAAGATTTGAGGTTGGACACCAACAAATAACCTAGTAAATGTGTAAACATCGGCTACACAACATGGAACCGCAAGGCCCACCCCAAAGGAGCCATTTCAAATGATCCAACGACTGCTTTGTGCACACCCACCTCTTGCGGAATGCTTTGGAACAGTTGGGAAAAGCAGTCATTGGGTGGTGTGGGCAAGTAGGTTCTTCCGGGGTGTTCTTGGGAGGCTACCTGCGGCTTGCCTAACACCATAGAAGAAGCGAGAAGGCCGGCCGCACTGCCGCCCATGTTTGGCTGGGACCATCCCTTACTAAGTTTCCACTGTAAGCGCCTAAATTTGTAGAATGGGGGGGGGGGTACTTGAGTGTTTGTTTAGCCCCCTGTATTGCCCCAAGCCCGGTTTTGCTTGTGGCTCACCTGAGCATTCCAACTTGACATCGCGGCACTCACAAAGCGGTCCGCTCGGAAGGAACACTGTGCTGGAGCGGTTGTGGGCTGCCACGTCGCGAAGAGTCTCGAAGTACCTGCACAGCTGCACCCGATCCGCCCGGGAAATATTGGACCCATACACAGAAGAAGCCTTCATGGGTGAGGTTGCCAGCCCGCTTGCTGGTGGCAAAAGTTTGCCCAGACGTCACACCAATTCTGTACGTGCCGAATGTTGCACAAGGGGTCTAGAAGAAGCTACCTACTATGCGTTGCTCTTGTGGTTTGATTTGGGGGAGGGCAACAAACATGGATTTCTTTAGCACGCCAGTTGTGCGAACCAGCTCTGGCTTTGGCACGCAAAGCTCTTTGGGCCCTTTGCTGGCCTAAATGGATTCCGCCGTCCGGCATGGGACAATGCCCGAGTTGGATCTTGAGGGCTTTGAATCTTGAAACACGGGGACCCCGTGTTTGCTGCTGTTCACCGGGAACTTCGATTAAAATGGATCAACGGGTGCTGGGCAATTGGCAGAGGCACACATGGGTGAGGAAAGGGTCTGTGAAATGTCACACTCCTTAACTTGGGTGCTGTAGATCCTCCAACAAAAAGTTTGACTTCTTGCTGGTTAAAGGGAAACATGAGGGGAATCCACAAAGTTAAAGTCTAAAGATCCAACCCAATAGCAGTAGAGTTGATTGCAGCGCTGGCATGCTGCGTACATTGGTTTAGGCGCAGCTCAAACAGCGAAATGGCCCGTCTCTGTCTCAAGATCCTTTGTGCAAAACAGCCGAAACCGATTTTCGCGGGATTGCATGCTTCTCGACTGGGCAGCAAAAAAAGCAGTCAAGTAGAACTTACCTACGATTTACGACTTGCTAGGAATGGAATGCAAACGTTTAGGTTGGCGTCCCAGCTTGTTTTGCCAAACCTGGAACCTGGTGTTTCTTTGCTCGCAACTCCCAACAAATTATCACGGAGCCCCTCAATTTGTGGAGGGGTTTTGTGAGGAGAGCTGCCGACAAAGGTTACAGCGCTGAAGAGGATTGCTCCCCAACCACTCGTCTTCAACTCAAGGTTTCTCTGACTTGTCGGACCACAAGCTCGAGACGGATCCTGCAACAAACCAACCTTTTGAATGGCAATCGCGAGTCACAAACCGCAAGGCTCTTGGAGGACCACCAGCTGGATTCAACCCACGCCCCATTCTGGTCTTGCAATCCCAATCACCTCACTTTGCAGTGCACAAACTGGCACAAACCATCCTAAACTCGCCCGGAGTAGTCTGCCTGAACCTGCGCCGATTAGCTCAAAAGCAGGCCGCCAGACCCCAGCCAACCCTCAAACAAAGCCTCACAGTAAAGGACAGGGACAGAAGAGGGAAAAGGGAGGAATGAGGAAAGCAGGGGGACTTGAGGCCAAGGGGGCAAACGAAGGCAAGGCAAAAGGTGGGGGTTCGGGGGCTCGGGCGTGGCTTCGCCTGTCCGTCACAAGCACAGCATCTGTCACAGGCTCTGTCGCAGCTGTCTGTCACAAGCTGGCTCTGTCGGCGGGCGGGCAGGTTGCGGCGGTCGGACGTCACCTAAAATCTAACAACCACTAACCTGTCGCGTTGTGAGGTGGTGAAAAACGGGGCATTGAGTGGGCCCACCCGCCCTTTGCTTCTCTGCCCTGTGGCTGGGTGATGAGAAGCAGCTCTGAGATCTTGTCTGTGGAGAGGGTCTCTCCAGAGCCGTGGGTGATCGAATCCTGAGTCAGAGCCACACAAGCTCGGTATGTGCGTCAACATTGGGATTTGGGCCCCCCACGGGTAGCCGTTGCGTACTGCTTCCTTTCAAACCCAAAGAAACTGACAAAGCACACACATGCACAAACAAACAAACAAGCATCTGTGCGTGTGAAGGTGGTTCAAGTAAATAAGAAAGTAGAGGAGATGTCCCAATTGTGGCTGACACATGGACTGTACAGCGACAAGGTTCTGAGGAAGTGTGAGCAGAAAGCATGGCTGCTTCCGACCCGTCTAGGAGTCTTAGGGCCTCAAAAACTGCCCAAAGAATCCAAACACACCCCAATCCAGCGATTCTAAACCCATGCTGAACTGTCCAAAAAGGCATCCATCCCGTGGGTCGATGGGAACAGTCCTGGCTTTGAGCCAACGCGTGGTCAAACAGCCGCAAGCTCCGCGTGTTGGCTCATGAGCTCGTGCCGAGTCCCCTGGCTTGAGGCCAGGTCTTTCAGGGGTGAGACCTGCTGACACAGCACGCCCCGATAAATCTCTGCGCCGATCGAATCGAGCAACTAAACCTAGCGGTCCGAAACTTTCGGAATCTCGACACTTTCGGGCACGTGCAACAAGCTCGGATGTTGGATGAGAAACAATGCCGAAAGCTCTGAAGGGAAGCCCCGGAAAACTTGATCCTATTCGAAGCCGACTGCCAAATCCAACATGGCGGAAGCAAAGGAGCTGTTGATGCATGACTGCGTCGGCTCTAAGCCTCCAAAAAAGGGCGCTTTCAGCAGAGCAAAGGTACAAGAGCAGAAGAGTGAGCCAGACCAACTTCATCAAAGACTTTGGCTGGGAACCTTGTCAAACGAACGTGGGTACGTTGTCACCATCTGGATAAGGCCAGCACTTACCAAAAGCTTTTCTTGGGCTCAACAAGGACGATTTCCCTGGACGCCGCAAGGTTTTTGGGTGCTACATACTGAATGGGAGGTCTGGCAAAACTGCAAAACTATCAACCTCTTTATTGTTTTCGGACATGGGTGTTTCCCTCTTGGTTTCCCTTTAAACAGACCCAGAACAGCTTGCCTCCAAAAGCGGAATAGCGCCGATTGACCTGCCACCAAACCCCTGTGCACTTCCATGTTGGTGGAAGGCAACCATCCTTGTAACTTCCTTTTTCGAGGTGGTCATGCGTGGGAGTGTAGCCCCAAAGGTTCATCTGTGTTTCCAAAAATAGTGGGAGCCCCATTTGGTTGGTTTGAAAGCAACAGGAAACCGTTGCTATTACGAAGGGTCCGATGCCTATAGGAAACACGCATCGGTCCTACCATAGATGCTACCAATAGCGATCCAATTTTCAGCACCGACCTCAAGTTGGACGGACCATCGGGAGGGAATCCTAAGTTCAACCACCAAGGGATTGCTATTGGTTTTTTGAAAAACAAAAAACTCCAAACACCCACAACCAAATCCTTGATGGTATCGGTTTCTTTTCCAAAAAACAAAAGTTCCAAAAACCCAAACAAACCTCTGGGAACCACTGGCCTGAATTCCTCCAAAGGTGCCCGCAGGCCATCGATGATTGCGCGGCGCTGGCGGGCGATACCTTCTCCCTGGCGAGGCGCGCGCGCCAGCCGTCGTCGACGTGGCGGTCGTTTGTGATCCAAGGTGCTTCCCAAAACGGGGACTTCCGACCGACCTGCTTTTTTGGGCCAAAAGATGAGATGGGGATTTGGTTTGGCAAAAAGGGGCTTGGCATTTCGGGGATTCGACCACACACACACACACAATCTGGGCACCCTCAGGTCAACAGCACTTTGTTGTAACCAGCACCTCGGGCTCTGTTAGCGTGCGGCCTCCATTAAAGGCCCTAGCAGGAACTACCTGCCAGCAGTTAGCGATGAAATTGGGGTTTACAGGTAAGGTTTGGCAAAATGGGGGTTGGCAACAAGGGGACGTCCGAGCGACCTGTTTTTAGGAAGCCTTTGTTGGAAGCCTTGCACTCCAGATGAAGGGCGATCACTCCGCCCTGTTCTTTTGGGGGCCAACCAGGTGAGATGGGGATTAAAATAAAGGCTTGGGCTGGAGAAATAGGCCCGAGCAAGAATCTTGGGCTAAGGCAAGCCATGGTTTTTCTCACTTGCTGATTTTCTGCACTCCGGTATCCGTTGGTGAACACCAGCCGCCGAATTCAGCCATTTCTTGTGCAACTGAAGCAAAAGAGACCGATATGTCGCCTCACCCGAAGGTCAACTCCGAACCCCAAAACACAATTCGGAGAAGAATAACCTTGCAGAAGACCACCAAAAACAAGAAAAGAGTGGTGACGATTGAAAAAAGTGGGGGACCACCCCCCGCCCTAGTTTCATTTGCTGCGGAAAGGCCTTCTCGGAGGCTTGCGAGAGAGCTTCCTTTCAGGTCTTCATTGTCATATCCGCCGACCTCTGGGGCCCATTCAGACTTCAGTCTCATTTGCGGACTCCGTCTATACGCTTGGATCACACATGCGCACAAAAAGCATGTGTATACACAGTGGACACCCATTGACACACACTCTCAAAGACCTCTACACTCGGAAGGCCCATGTGTTTACGCTCGGAACGCCCGGAGACTCTCCGGCCCCACGCCCCCACGCCCCCACGCCACGCCACGCCGCGCCTGCAGCTGCGCGGCGTCGGCCGCGGCCTCGGCGGCCTTCACCACCTTGATCTTCTCCGCCTCGAGGGGTTTTCAAGCACAGCGACCTGAAAACAGAGGTTTCAACAAGGGTCTAGGGGAGATGTGGTGGTGAAAGGTCAAAAGTCTAGCGGTAACTTCCATTTCCATTCATTCCAGGTATCCGGATCTTTGTTGAAAACTACAAAAACCCCTGGGCAAATGGCGGTAAGAAAGGGGGAGATGCTGAAAATGATCCAGTCTCAAGGGGGGGACCTAAACGTTTTGAGTCAAATAGAGTGCTATCCTCGAAAGAGTGCCCAGCTGGAAATAGTACAAGGTTGCCGGGTCCCGCTTGAATCAAATGAAAAGGGGTCCGCACAATGCAACCTCTTTAAGCAGAAAGGAGAACAAATTCATGGTGCTCCAACAACCCTTAGACATTGGTGCTGGAAAAGAACATCAAGAGGACCCCTTCGGCCAAGTCTCGACCTTTGTCATTTGTGTCTTGGTCACTGTTTCGAGGTTCTGAGCCACCCTGCAATGGTAAACATGGGGAGGATCTACACCTTTTCCAAAAAAGTAGACGGCACTCGTACCCGAAGATCCGAGAAAACAGATGATGCACCTGGCTCGGAAAGTTCGGCCATCAACTTTCAACCAGCAAGCCAGCAAGCCAGCAAGCCAAGCCAGCAATCCAGCAAGCCAGCAAGCCAGCAAGCCAGCAAGCCAGCAAGCCAGCGAGCCAGCGAGCCAGCGAGCCAGCGAGCCAGCAAGCAAACGGACGAGCGGACAAGCAAAGGCATAAAGATACATTCCCGGTTCCGTGTACTCACGCGTTCACAAGCCCCATCCACCCGTGGGCTTTGGAGCGTGGATTGCGTATGCGGAGGTTACATGGAAAAACACTCCAAAACACAGCGCCCAAAATGCTCATACAACCGCGGGGGTGGGGAGGAACCTGGGCCCTTTGGGCCCTCCATCCCCACAAAGGTCGAGTCGGCAAGTGCGCGTCCCTTCGGGGTGCCAAGGGTCGCCTTTGCTCCCAGTCCCTTTCCCCACCAGCCGCTCATTGAACTTGACGGACAACTCCTCAGAACATGAGTTGCGTAGCAGCGACATGTCGATCTCAGCAGCTCATGCCAGGCAAATGGGTGACTCGTCCAGCAGGGGAACGTGCTGAATAGGAACCAACCAAGCCACCGCTTGTGATCACGGCCGCGATAATGAGAAAGCTTGGGACAGCCCAACGCGGCACCTTCAGCACACTCAACAGCACCCTGACTAGCACTCACAACAGCACCTTGACCAGCACCCACAACAGCATCGGGCTGCATCGCAAGACAAGCAATGGCAGCGACCACAGCACCTGCGCACACAAATCAGCAGCACCCAAACAGCACCCTGGCCACACCCACAACAGCACGCTAACTGCATCGCAAAACAGACACTGCCAGCAACCATCACTTCTTGAGAGCACCCCAAACAGCACCCTGACTAGCAGCAACTGGAACGCGGACAGGGATCGTTCAAAGAAACCTTGAGGGCTGACTCTTTCCCTCTTTACTCTCATACACAGAACAGATAGAGGGCCATATCTGTCCTCCAACACATAAGCAAACACTTCAAAAAAGTCGGGCAATAATGGCACACCCAGTGCATAAAACCCTTTGCCCTGCGAACCGAAGCTAGAGGGCTCCTTCATTTGGAGTTTGTTTCCTCACTTTGCAGGGGCCAATATTTGAGATTGTCTTTCTCGTGAGTAGTGTTTGCGGATGGGGACACCGAAGGGCGATCTTGGAGGCACTTGCCACTTGGGGTTCCTAAGGCGGGTCCAGATGATGCAGCAGGCTGGTTAATTCAGCAGGTTGGTTGAAAATCTACCAGAGGCTCATATGCGCTTGTCGATCTCAACTTCAGGGAAACTCAAATGGTTGATTTCCAGTCGATTTTCCTCGAAAGCCAACCGAACAACGCCCAAATCTCGGTCCAACCGATGGCTTCATCCGGCCGAAAAACCGATCGCGCGCCTCTGCTGCCATCTGACTCGCATCGCGAAGGCCTCGATGTCGAGCGGTCCGCTTGGAAACGGAAGGCACCCCGAAGAGATCGCCGAAGAAATCCCCGCAGGGAGGAAGCTTCCCCCCCGGCGAGCAAGGATTTGCCCAAATTGACAGGATACAAAAGGAAGCCTGAATCTGGGGTCAAAACAAGGTCCCGCATCTTGATTGTCCTAATCCGTATCTCCAGTGCTTTCTAGGTGTTTCAATAGTTTTGCTGGCATTCGTAAGCCAATGGTTGAAACAGCCATGTCTGGCAATCCAATTGGTGTGCCCCACAAGACGCTGGAAGGCAACGAGTCAATGAGAGCCATTGACCAAAGAGTACCTGGAAACTCGATGGCCATAAGCCATACCATCGCTTAGCGGTTCCCTGGCAGAAGTGGGACACATCCTTCACTCGCACAACCCTGCCTTGCACATTCCCCATTTCGGCCCCAAACACTTGCCATCGTTCAGGAAAAGTGCGCTGGCACTTGCGCAGTTGATGGGCGAAGAACATGGAGGACGAATCTAAGCCATAGACAAGTTCAATGTGTGAAAGTTGGAAGATCCCACTCACAGGGATCGTCATCCAACTTCTCGAAGTCGTGCAACGGGCCGACAGCGGGGGCTCGGGGGAGTGGCTCACATGTCGCCAATACACATTTGGGTATGGGTCAAACATGTTACCACCATGGGACCGCAGGTTTTAGTCCATGTGTCCATTTACCAGGGCAAGCCATTTTGGGTACCTATTTTTGACCCACAGCTATTTAGAGGCCAAAATCTCACAAGTCAAGACCTCAAAAGTGCTTGAATAGCCTTTCTAGACTCCAGTTGTGAACTCAGGCGGTTTTGCAGCCACAGTCTTTGTTGGCGAACCCTGTCTATCTGAGTGGATTGGCCAAACACAGGTATTGGTACTCCCCACTGCAATGATCCAGCAACCCAAAACATTTATGTTGCCGCCAAGCACTTTTCCGGCTGGCGGTGAGCAAGTTGGCGGCTCAAACCCTCCAGCCCATACTTTTGCTGCCGAAGTCGCGTTTCTGCTTGTTGATCTCCTCGGATATCGCGCAGACTTCCCGAACCAGAAACAAGCTGCTAAACAAACACCCGCACCAACTCCAAACATTCGCCAACCTAGTCTGCGAACCCTTGAGTAAGCGCTGTTCATCATGGCATAACTCGGCTTACACCCGTTCAGTGGGTTCGCTTGCCATTCCTCTGTGCAGAGACCAAACACGGCTGAAGCGAGGTTCGCGCAGTAGCTATGGTAACATAAGACAGGCAAACAGCTTCTGGGCAGCCCTCAGATCCCCCACTAAAAGTTAATTTTTGAGTGGGTTAAAAAAAAACTACCACTAAACACTCAAAGGCTAAAAAGCTAAGGAACCGGATGGCTGGGAACCACCAAGGCTTGGTGTGAATTTTTGCATCGGGCTTGGGGTCAGCCTCCATATTACTCGTTCGCCAAGCCACGTTCATGGACGCCACCACCTCTTGATTCGGCGTCACCTTCCGGCGCTCGGAGCAGAGAGGGGGGTCTGGTCCCTGTACGCCGCAAACATGCTGCCCATATCTTGGTTGCTGCTAAGCCTTCTGCAACATGTTTGACTGTTTGTGATGTTTCGTTCTTCCTTCCTATGTGCATGTTGGTGCTACTGAAAAATCAAACTTTAAAGCCGACTGGAGACAAACGCCGAAAGCAAACAAGATTCTCCTTGGACGGTACTTGGGCTTTCCGTTGCATGGTGCTGGTGCTACTCTCAAACCGCTCTTTTTTCGGGTGGTGATAAAGGCCAACCCCTCTTTTTTTCCACCGCTCAGTGGACACAAAACTTCGCCAGAGTCAGCGTGTCAAATTCGAAAAACCACCAACAGTGGGTTGGTTTCCTCTGCGGTTCCAAACCAACCTCTAAACCACACCCCGCCCATACGTCCACCACACGATCCACACGGCGCTTCGATCCGCACACCGCGCGCTTCGAACCGCTTCCCGGCCTCGGTGACCAAGGCCTTGCTGATGGAAAACCCGAAGTTCGCCATCTCCTGGGCGAAGCAACGGGAAAATGAAATGTTCATCTGTGCGAAGCTGTTTGACCCACAAAGCCACAAGGCCGCAAAAAGCTAGAAGAGTTGTTGAGAGCTAGGAACCCCTTCAAGTTAAGCTTGCTGAGAGCAGGTCATGTGAGCTGTGCCAAAAGGTTAAAACAAAAGAAACATGGTACAACCTAAATGACAATCTGCAAAGGCTATTAAAGGCCCATGATCCACAGTGGAAGCAACATGTTCCGACACTTAATGGTCCCACACGTGAATCACATGCTGTACAAATGTATGGTCAAAGAGTAGTATGTTGCAAAGACAGAGGATCCAACAAATGAACAATGCATTGCAAAGGTTAAAGTCAAGAACAAAGCAACTGCATAAAGGAAATTGTTGAACAAATGAGTGATCCAAGAAAGGCAGAAGCATGGTCCAAAGCTGAATGGTCCAACACGTGGATGCATGGTCAAAGAAGCACATGTTGGACTAAGTGTCCAAAGCATGTGGACACAATGCCAAGGCTACGAGTCAAACAAGTGAATAGTGCGGTGCAAGGAAAATAGACCAACCAACAATAACATGAGGCATATCCATTTTCAAGGTCCACAGAGTGAATGTCAGTTTGCAAAGGTTCATGGTCCAACATGTGAATCATCACATGCTGCAGACCAAAGGGCACCAGAGAATCACAACAAACTGTCCCAAACCGATTATCAAGAATCCACCGATCGAACGTGCCAATGTCGATTTACCTACCAGCACCGATCAGAACGTATCCTGCCCTCCTCAATTCTCAAAACAGGGATCCTTACATGAAACACACCTGAACGTTGCAACTTGCTTTCTGGTGTTGTTTCAACCTTTGTTTTGGTCTTGAAAAAGCCACCAGCCATGTAACTCAAATGAATTTATTTTAAGGAGCCCTGCAAAACATGACCTGATACCTTCCAGTAGACCAAGGGAGGAAGACGGGTCCAAGGTGGAACAAAACACCTGGAGCGGCGCATTGCCCGATCCCAAAGCTTCCAAAGACCCCTTCCCAAAACAGTAACAAACACCAAAAGCGAGCAAACAGCAAAGAAGTAGCCCAAGGTAAACGCAACTCGTGCATCAAGCATCCAACCAAACCCCTCAAATCATACATGCTGCTGGCAAACGACTCAAATGGGAAAAAAACCAAACGGCTCCCGATTTTTGACACTCTCTCTCCTCCGCCAGCTTCTTCTGAACGGCATCCGAGATATCGTCCTATCACGACAGGTGCGACAGGACGGAACCCCACTGGACACAATCCTCCACTTATTTGGATGGCTGAAGGGGAACAATTGCCCAAGAGTTGTTTTGCTGATGGCACCTCTTCAAAACAAGGGACCATCTTTCAGGATCCCCAATGTAGACTTCAAAGCAGCGAAAGCCATGTATTATATCTAACATGTGTAATGACCGATATATATATATATATATATATATATGTATATATATATGTATATATATATATGTATGTGCATACATGTAGCCAGCGGCTCACCTTCCCCGAATGCTGAGGAGTCTGTCACGTTTGGGGGCTCAGGGCTGGTTCGGCTCCTTTTTCTCGAAGGCTTCGTCCAGGGTCATCTGAGGGATGAAGGACCGCACCACGTCCTCGGGTCTCGGGTTCGGCTTTCTGGATGCACCCGCCCAGTGATGTGGTTCCAAAACTCGCAAACCGAAAAAAAGGAATCCCCAATAGGGCTCCTTACATTTCCCTTTTAAACATCACCCCACCAAAAGGAAGGTCCTTTAACATTGGCCCAAAAGGAGATGTCCAAAACCAAAAGGGGAAATACAGGGAGCCCTGAAGGAAGCTTTCTGGAGCTGGATTGATCTAGGCCCGTCGCTCGGGGAAGCGAGTCCTCCCCACTTTGAAGGGGATTCCCTTTGAATGGGCCCGGAAACCTAGTTTCCCACCAGGCTTCCCCAGCCCAGTGACCCTAATAGAAGAGGAACCGTTCCTGCGTGCGAACCATGTTTAGTAGGGAATCCGCCAAGCAAAACGGGAGAAATGGTGTGACTGAACAATTGGGCTGGGCGAGCGCAACCTTGAGAAAAGACGAGTCTGTCAGTGATCACCTAGGGTGCGCAACCGCTCACCCTTTGGTTTGGGAACGGCTCCCTTTCAGACACCGACGACTTCTGCAAGCACTTGCGCAAAACTGAACTACTGGGAATGAGTCAGCAGGTTCATCCAGAAAAGGTCATTTTGTCCAAAATCAAGTCACAATACACACAACTGTGCAAGTGTATATTTACGTGCATACGAATGCCATGCCCGACCAACATACCGCACAAAACAACAAGTACGGAACAACAGCGAGACACTATCTGCTGAATCGATAAGGAGGCTGTGGTAACCCGATACCCAGCACATTCTGTCCGGGTTCGTAAGGGTCGTACATGTAATGCCGCAAAGGTGATCGCAAAAGGAGTACACACGTCCACATATGATATATTCCAGCACCTGAAGGTTCACACAAATCCCTACCCTAGGCATCAGACAGAGCCCTTTGGGTGGGAATTCCATTTTGCTCAAAGCTCAGCTGGATCAGTCCACCCTCTGAAAAGCAGTCCACCAGTTGAGCGCAGTCAGATCCCATCCCGTGTGCCAAAAAGGGTGCGACAAGTTCACCGAGGCTCCGAAACGTAGGAGTCAATTTGAGCGTGAACATTGTCCAGCTTGTACATGGCCAGTTCCTGAAGGACTTCAGCCAAGCGCCCAAGCTGTTGCATGTGGGAAGAATTCAGGGGCCCCACGAGTATAGACTTCCCTTCTGGTTCCCTTGAAAACTCATCCAAACAGATCGTTCCCTCTGTGTGAAATGTTCGAATTCGTATTTTCATGGCTTCCTGGTGGGAATCCGTACTATATTGAATGTTGTCTACACTCCACTCTGAGTGGCAAGTCGAAACCCTTAACTTCATGTATGTTGACCACTGGCTGTACTGGCAATTCTGACTCTCCGTCTTGGGAAAGGCCGTTTCGGTATCACGAAAGCGGGCATTTGCCACTGGAGCATGTTTGTCCTAAGAATCTTGCGAACTTCAAAATGACTTCTTGTGAGGTCCATAATCAGGTGGAACCGTTGATTGTCCGTTTATTGTTCGAAATCAATGAAGCAGTGTGGGGCACCATGGCAGGCAAACAAAACATACACTCTGAAACAAACACACATGCGTATATATATATATATAAACGCACACACCCACACCCACACAGACATAAAAACTCATGAACACACACAAACTCAAGCAATGAACACACACACACAAACACACAAAACACAATGCACGAAGACTCAAAGACACAAACACAGAGACACAGAAACAAGCACAACACAAAGGCACACAAAGAAACACACCCACACACTCAAACAAACAAAGCCATAGGCAGGTAGGCAGGCAGGCAGGCAGGCAGGCAGGCAGGCAGGCAGGCGGGCGGGCAGGCAGGCAGGCAGGCGGGCACGCAGGCAGGCACGCAGCCACGCAGCCACGCAGCCACGCAGGCTCGCAGGCACGCAGGCACGCAGGCACGCAGGCACGCAGGCACGCAGACGCAGGCACGTAGGGACGCAGGCACGCACGCACGCAGGCACGTAGGGACGCAGGCACGCACGCACGCACGCACGCACGCACGCACGCACGCACGCACGCACGCACGCACGCACGCACGCACGCACGCACACACACACACACACACACACACACACACACACACACACACACACACACACACACACACACACACACGGATGCCAGCGTTGAAAGCGGCAACGGAAGAGCCGTTGTCTTTGACACAAATGAATCTCCCCTTCAACGCACGTGTTCATGTTCACCGATGGCATGCCTGGCAAAATGCACTATTAGAAGAGTGCAGAGCAACCGCCCAAAATCCGTCAAGTGTTCAAGTCCACGGTTTGTTCATCGTTGGAAGAATGCCGCGTAAAACCCATGCCATGCAGGCCATCAAAATTCCAAGACAGTATGCTTGCGTTGGCCAACTTTGACAAAGGAAGCAAGAACATGCATTTTGCAGCAGGACCGAAGGAAATTAGGCCCTGAACCCTCCAATAGAAGAATTTCACAACCATGATGCATCAAAAACAACTGCAGTCTTTGCTGCACCAGACTCGGTTGCTTTCTGCTCCCCTGCTAAAAGTTTAACTTTTAGTGCTTTAGTGGAAAACCCATTAGTTGGCAAAAAGTCAAAGTCCTAACATCCAAGCAAAATGCAACAAAGCAGACACGATTGAGACTGCAGAGACGCTTCGGTAACCAACAGAGCTGCAACAAATGAGCAGCGGTGAAAAGCGGTTCACTTTTGGCGCCACCAACATGGCTATACCCCTCCTCCATGAAACCAGGTAGTGGAAAGAGAATCCCCATGAAAGGTCACTGATGGAATCAGTCACAACTCCCCTAGCGACCAAGATTGAAAGGACACTGTGACTTCCGCGAAAACAATTTTTGCAATTGGATCCGTGGAAGCTTCTGCGAGCTTCCACGCTGTGCACAAACTCTTCCGCGGAATCCCATTTTGGCATCCCAAAGACTAAGTTTCTTCATAGGAATTTTGCTTGCTGCTCTGGTGCGTTTGCGAACAAATGCCCCGATGCATCAACCCCTGATTGACTAGTAGGTGTCCCATTTGCGTTGAATCTCTTCACTTTGTCTCTGAAAAGTATGTTTCCTCTTTTCGACCCACCACTACATGTCACCAGCAACCACAAAACCAGAAATGAGGGAACTTTCCGCAACATCATAGGTGCGCTCCGCTCGCTTCACCCACCGAACAGCTCGTCATAATTTGTGCAAATAGATGTTTGCCGTTTGGATTCCCTTCCATACACCAACAAAAAAAGGGTATTCTCAAAAAGACGCCCCACCTCATGGACACAAACATCCGCCGCCTTTCGCTTCGACCGCATCGTCTTCGTCTCGTGGTCGGAGTCCAAACCCCCCCCCCCCCGCGCCCGCCCCCCCAGCCCGCACTCGGTCCGAGGTGCAGTGAACTCTGGCATCACCGCCTGCTGCACCGCGACCTTCACGTGGACGAAGACGTTGTCCTGTTCAGCGCCGGGTCTGCTTTGGGGAACCCCATTTGGGTGTGTCGTTTTTGGGGACCCACCAAAAAGGGTGGCTTGCCTTTTGGTTTCCCCTTAAAGCCACCAAAAAGGGGTACCCCAACAAAGGACAAACCCATTTGGAGGCCGGGTCTGTTTTAAGAAACCCCCGTTTGGAAAGCAAGGACGCCAATTGGGGGGGCAGACGACCCACCCCCCCACCCCGTTTTGTTGGTTTTAAAGGAAAGCCGAAGGAGGCTAACCATTCTTGAGGCCTGTTTTGTTTTTTTTTGTGGGGGGGGGGGGGGTGGGCGGGGGACATTCCTTTGGTTGGACAAGGGAAGCCAAAAGAAAACCGTTGCCATCTTTGAGGTTTACCCCATGCGACAACTCAGCTAAAGGTCGGGTAAGCCCCCGGCTGTACACCAAAAAGCTGCGGCAAGCGCCAAGTTTCCAGACGCCTTGTGGATGGGCGCAACAAACGCTTGGGTATGGCTGGTAACGGTACCAGCCAGCCGATCCTCGTCGCCTCTAGAGGGAAACCAAAAGGACGCTGTTACCACGGGCTAATATGTTACTAGTCCTGGTAAATGTCTGCAAAAAGGATGATGGCACCATGGGAAGGTGGGCTCATCTAATTTCACCCAATTGTAAATGTATGAACACATGTGCTGAATGTATCATGCAGTCGTCAGATGATCCCTGACAAGAAAAAATAATAAGCCCAGGTGATATCCCCAACAGCATGCGGTGCTCTTTTTAGTGCGCACCACCCCGCAGCCGTGGCAGAACCTGATGGAACCCTGGTGGAACCCCGGTGGAACCCTGGTGGAACCCTCGTGGAACCTGACCTCAGGGCCGCCCCAGACCACCCCGGAGCCTATCTGGGCTGAGACCCCAAAGCCTTCAGCTGTTGGGGGAAAAAATAAGAAAAAGAGAATAAAGAAAAACAAAAGGTAAGTGTTGGCTCCCTACACCAAACTAGACGTCCCTAAACGGGGCCTTCATGACCGGAGGTTCCCTTTATTTGTTACTTTGGGGACAACCTAAACTTGGGAGCCTTTGAAACTTCTCAAGGTGTACCCGTGTTTGAGGTACCTTCTTGTTAAAACCCCAAGAAAGCTGCGATATCCCTTCGGTGTCCCTTTGAAACACCGCAAGGGCACCCTCGCAAAAAGACAGACCGAGTTTGTTCTTCTATTCATATTCCGAGGCAAACCCCGAAAAACAGAAGCATCGGGCCCTTCGAAACTGCATCCGCATAAGCCAAATGCGCTCAACGCAGAGATGGGCCCATCGACACTCCTTTGTCTTGGTGGAGACGGTGACCATGTTCCTCACTTCCAGTGGAAACCCAGCGTCAAGCCAATAAAAAAAGGGGGAAATGAGGGTATATGAGATTTAGATGGTGACTATCTAGTGGCTACACATTGTCCTTCGGGGTTGGTGATGTGGGGGGGGGGGTTGTGGAAATGATCTCTGATCACTGTCCAAAAATTGGAAAAGCTGATCTCCCTTTGACGTTACCGGCTATTCTGCAGGTTGGGAACTAGCTGACTTGTAAGAAGGGAAGCTATGCCCCACAAGCAAAGGGAGAGCCACCGGTAGAACCAAAGGGAATCCTTCAGAGATGTTCTACGAGTGGAGCGGGTGCCTTGTTGACCTTTTTTCGCCTATTTCCTGAAGCCAGTTGTTGTTCCTGGGCCACGCTTTTGAGATTGGCATGCAAGGGCGTGTTGCGATCAAGCTCAGCCGGTTCAAAGATGCCCTGCTGATTTGGACTTTTGGTATTGCACGATTGCTCCGAAGGGTGTTTGAGTCAACTGGATGCTGAATCTGGAAGGGCTGCCTGAACGACAAAACAGTGGGCTGTACTGTACATGAGCACTGGATGGGTGTGGTTTCCGCCTGGTTGCTTGGCAGAATGTTACAAAAAAACAGGGGAATTCCAACTGGAAACCGGGAAACCATTCTTTGGGGCACCGCCTGAATTTCCTGGCACACTGCCGGAACATCGCGCAACCGTCTTTCTCAGTACAACCTCAACTTGTTCATGCTCCAAAGGCATGGATGGCTGGCGCCAGATCTGAAGCTGATTGGGATGCCTTCAATTTTACGGGAGCAACAGCTAGGTCTTGTCTTCGCTTCCAATAATAGGCGGAGCGGACATCCATTCAGGCGACATGTTTGACCGTGCGCGCTTTTATCCCACTGGCGACGGCCGACAAGCTAGGCGGAAAGATGCTTGCCAACTGCGCTTCCATATATTAGCAAAAGCATGTTCCCCACTCAAATTAAACAGCAGCAAAGAATTGGCCAACTGATGTCAAATTTGGATCAACCCGGAGAACCATACTATTCGTTTGCCACTGGGCAACCTCCATACAATCGCCGTTGAAATGGCTGGATGCTTGTGCTTGCAACCCGCTTTTTAACCAACTGCCACTACGAGGGCAACCATTTGATAATTTTCGCAGAATCTTGCGGATTGATTTTGAAGAAACCGTCATGACCATGTCCCCTCAGATCCAGAGCAAAAAAACGAAGCCTGTCCGGCCTGTCCTGACCATTTCCCCTCAGAACCAACAGAACCAACAAAAGAAACCTTTTCATGGAAGATATCACAAGTATAAGCAGTATAAGGCTTGAAGCTTAACCTTGAAGAACGCCTCCCCAAAACACCCAAACCGCCCCTTGCTGAACAACTTAACTGCCGAGGTTCTGCTCAGTCCGCGAGGTGATGGAGCGAAAGCCCACGCACATGCCTTGGCTGATTCCGGCTGTACATGGGCAGAAATACGGAGCAAACACCTGACCCTTCCTTGTCCCGAGAAATCCCGCGAAAATCATCTAGTGTTATGCTTGACTTCCCCATTTGAACCCATGGTCCTTCTTTCAAAAATCCAACCATGATTTCCCTTGGTCAATGCTCAACCAACGTGTAGTGAACATCTAAACACCATGATCATGGCAGATCCTGCTTTGAAACCAGATATGATACCCCCTCTGTTCCCCATGGCTGAGGGCTACCGAACAGACTTTTCAGATCAATATCTGTGTCTGCAGGAGTAAACGCATTGGACTCAACCTAGAATCCCTTTTGCCATGATTGAACCCCACCCATGATTTCTCGAGGCTTCTCAAAAATCGCAAGTAGTAGAACGCGACGCTTTTGGAGAAGATTGAATAGTTTTTTTGTTTGTTTATCATTATTGCCCCCTCAAACATCACTCCTTCAGGGACTCAGCTTAGCTTTATTACTTTACCCACAAGGCGCTGCTTGCAAACATCCAAAGGAAGAATACCAGGTCCGAACCCTCTTGAAAACCTACCTGTGTTGTACCTGATAGTTGGTCCAAAAATACCGACTTCAGGGGTCAGCATAGAAAATGCAGATCTCACCGCAAGTCTGATTCGACACATCTGCATTGTTTACGACTAATCCAAACCCTGAAAAAGTGGATTTCAACCAAAGAACCTGCACCACAGGTGTTGTTCGCTCATTTTGCCCCGTACAATCGCTCCAGCGGCGGGCGGCTTCCGCGCAGGTCAGGAAGCCGAGCGGCCGCAGCAGTCGAGGCCCACGGTGGCGAGGCCGGGCTTCAGCATGTGCGAAAACTTTCCGAACTTCTCCACCGCGTAGTACCCTAAGGAGAACCCCCACATCCAGGCCCAACCCAGGAATCTGCCCCAGCCCTCATATCCTCAGGAGTATCATAACCCACCAGGAATCTGCCCCAGGCCTCAAATGGCTGTGGGTCAAAATTAAACCACCAGGATATGGACCGCCTGTTTTAGTCATGGGTTCCATTTACCAGGGCACCCCATTTTTGGATACCCATTTTTGACACACAGCCATATCCACATCCAGCCCTCCCACCAAGAATCTGCCCCAGCCCTCATATCCCATAGGCATGGGAGAAGATGGGCGAGAATGCACATCTGGGTGGTCATTTCAAGAGTCATTTTCCATAGGGATGTGGCAGGGCGGTGAAGTAAGCCCAAGGGGTAGCCCGGATCCCGGCCCTGAAAGCCTTCAGGCACCTCACCAAATCCGCCCAGTTGGAAAAAAAGGAGATGGGGGGGGAGAGTTTTGGCTCAGTCAACCCCGGCATGTTCCAAGAGGTCTCAGAACCCATGCCGGATCACCGTTTGCGGTGTTTGCTTTCTCAAAACCCCAGGCAAACTTGGCTTGACCCCTCTGGAGTTTCCGATGAAACTTCAGCCCAGGGGTTGCGCCATGGAAGTAGCCCTCACCTTCGGCCTTGAAAAAGCCAAAGCGTGGATGGGAAAGAGCGGTCGTTTTCTGCAGATGCCAAGCTAAAAAATCGTGGCGTCCATTCAAAACCGCAAGTACTCTCCGTGAAGCATGGGGTTAAAGCTGGGGAAAGCGTTGTTTGGTAGTCTTACCCCAGTACCCTCAAAACACCCGAGAGGATGGGAATTCCCTCAGGCAGGAATCCAGCAGAAGCCCTCCCCGCAGCAGGGACCCCACAAACCTCCCGACCTCCAATTGCCATGGAAAAAATGGGGAGCCCCCTCCAAACAAATAAACAAGGGCCCGAATGGAAGTCTGGGTCACTCAAAAAGTGCCCAAGTCGTCTGGGTTGAAGATTGACGCTCAGACCAGAAACTGCACCCGAAAGATTCAGGACGAAATTGGGAGGTCACCTCTCGAAAAATCGCAAATCCGGAATCACCGAAAACAGCGGGAAAGCCGCAAGGAAACTGAAAGGAAACACCAAACAGAAATACCAAATGCAAATATCATAAGGAACCAAAAGGAAAGTGAAACCAAAAGGAAAGTGAAACCAAAAGGAAAGGAAACCAAAATGAAACTCAACATTGTGGCCAACAGCTCTCATTGCAATCCGTCCGCTCGACAGAGTCGCCCAGCTCGATTCACCCCTTGCCGGCGAAAAAGAAAACAAAAAATCTATCAGACGTAGCTAACCAATTCCCTTTCCCAAGCCGATGAAGCAAAAGTCAAGTTTAGAAACAGCGTCTGTCTTTTGTTGATGTTGCCTTTTGCCTGGTTCAAAAGAGAGAAAACAAGGGAAGCAACACACCCGGCTGATGACAGGACCTCAAAGTGGGTTGTGTCTCTTTGATTTGCTTGTGTTGAAAGCAACCCAAACAAGGGCCTCCCAAAAGACAACGCGGCTTTAGAGGCGCGCCCAATCCCAAATACGCCCGAGTGGGTATGACGTTTAACCTTGATTGGTCCCAGACCCCTCAGTGTTAAATGTGTTGCTGGTGAGTGGATAAACTGCCATTTTCACATGCTTACACGGTTAAAGGTCGTACCAAAGAGTAACCAATAGATGGGGAGTCTAAACAAGTGGCTGGCAGAACCAAATGCCAACGTAAAGTCCAGCAACCGGAAGTTCGATTGGACGGCGCCCAAAACCCATTGACCTTCGCTATCTCGGTTCCACTAATATGCTCATAAAGGTTCATAGAGTCATAGTATGGCAGCTATGAAGCCAAGCAGAAGCAATACTCAATCGCATTTCTCTCTGTTCCTTGATTCTATTTTGTTTTCGCTTTGTCCTTCGGCCACGAGGCTGTCCTGCGGAACTGTCACCATGCAGTTGGTGCATGGCAGACATCCCCTGGCAATGGCGAATGGCGTCCCAAGCAACAAAGCAACCAAAGCCTGGCTTCATGGTTTACCCAGCGCTTCCAGCTGCCATCGTAGGCAACCTTGAGGCTCCTTACCTCTAAGGTTTACACGAAGGGTTTTCCTGGCTAACCGGAAGCACTGGGATAAACAAGGGCAGGTCAGCTGTCCTGAACCTACTCCAGTATGACGATGTTCAATTGGAAATCGACCCTTAGGACACCAATTTTCATGGGGAGTTGATGCAACCACCGATCATTCCTGCTCGTGTCCCCAACAACGCAACCCAATATACCCCTGCGGCAAGTTGAGCTTGATTCTAGCTAGTGAGATGGTGTTGGCACGATCCCAAAGATTCACTGACATCGGGTTCATGTGTTTTTTGTGAAAAGCGCAACATCGCGAATGGGCATTCAACGTCGAAAAGGCTTCCAGTCATTCTGCTGCTCATGGCGCAAGTTGCATTGTGCCCTGGAATTGGCAAGGCCAAAGCAAGCACAGGCAATCAACAAGGGGACACGCCAGGAATAGTCGTTCTGACTACACAAAATGAACCGGATGTTCGCATCTGAAAGGGCTTCCAAGACCCCCACACACTCTGCCCGGAACCAATGGCACATGCAACCATTTCCATAAGGATTTCGCCCTCCCACCCTTTTCACATAGAACCTGACGTAAGGGGCCCGGTCCCTTCAAAAGGAAATGGTCTGAGGACCGATTTTTCGAAGGTCTCGCAGTTCCCCTCGCCCTCTTGGGCGTGGAACTCGATCGCATACCTTATGCGGTTCCCGGGTTTAGGGCTCCTCTGTTGCATCCAATTCGACCTCTTGCAAACGAAGCCACATGTTTCGTAGCGTGGCTCTAATGTTTGATTCTATGGCCATACTTTGCCTGTCCCTCCCAATCTCCCAACTGGCCATGAGTTGTGAAAGAGAGATCGGTGCCCTGCAATTGCCAACGATTGCCTTTTGGATTCCTCTGCCGGTTCTTCGGTGCGTCACTCCGGCCCAAATCATTTCCAAAGGTTCTGCCAGCCCACGTGACGTCATCAGCCTTGCCCTTCGAACAAATGACATCACCAGGGCTCCACTTTTGAATAGCCTGAGGTAGACTTAAACCCCAGAAATGGCTCATGTGCTCCAAAAGGAGAACCCCTGGGTTTAAGTCTATCTTGGTGCAGTCAAAAAGTGGAACCCTGGCCATCACGACCATGGGCCCAGCGAGCAAACCATTTTGTCACCGTCCAACCGAGGCCCAGCTCGCGGCTCCCAAGGAAGCGTTTCAGCGGGCAAAGAAAAAAATGCCAGAACTGGCCTGGACAAAAATAACATATTTCCGGCGGTGATAGATTCCCTGCAAAAACCAACAGGGGAAAAAATATTCTTAAGCAAATGGAAGCCTTCGAGGTTGGTCTGCCCAGTGGGCCAAACGCCATGCTCCCTCCCACCCACCCTGGTCCCCCCTGGTCCCCCCTGGTCCCCCCTGGCCCCCAGCGCGCCTCTCAGTGCGCTGCATTTCTTCGAACCCAGCACCAGCTCTACTTGCGCCGTGATTTCACTCGACGGGCGACGGGCGGGACCGATGGGAACCCACCCCAGTACCGGCCACCCCCGGTGGCTTTAATCCCATGTCGCCAACTCCCCCTCTCCCCAGGACTTCGGGGACAAAATGCATCCGACTGAAGGGGCTCATGGGAGAAAGCGGCTATTGAGTGGTGCTGAGTTTGAGCAAGTCGCTGGGTGTTCATGCAGGTTCCCTTCAAACACCATCGCCAAAAGGGCCAACGCCCTGGTGTTGGCTGGAGCCCACTGGGTGGGCTGGGCTTGAAGAAACGACCCTTTCTGGTGGAACTCCCATACTATGACTACTTTGTCGCTGCAAAGGCAGAATTCCCCATACTTGTGAATTGTGACTGCTTCGCACGCTTTCAAAGAGGTCCCTGTTTGTTCAGAAGGTGGGCGTCAACCCCCCAGCACAATTTCCTACTAGCGAGTGCCAAGGCAAGCCGCACGCTCGTTTTTTGGTCGGCACCCCGCGGGGCACGTGCCTCGGCGGATTTGGGGAGAAAGGAAGTCCACGAGCGCTTGCCAAAACCTTCTGCTTCTCGGTTGCTTTCTGCTCCCCTGCTAAAAGTGAACATTTTTTTAGTAGTTTAATACGGAAAACCCATTAGTTGGCAAAAAGTGAAAGTTCTAACATCCAAGCAAAATGCACCAATGGATTTGCCAGGGATCCGAGAAAGATCTACTTTCGGCCAAAGCCTGCTTGCCCGGTGATGGCATCAAACAGGGCACGGTGCACCCCCTTTTTGGGCGGTTGATTCTTAAGCTGAACCTTTCTAACAAAAGGGGCCCGTGACTGGCTGCAGCAGGGCAACCAGTGCCTCACATCATATCTGCTGATTCAGAGCCAAAGCAAAGGGCCCCATTTCGACTTGCCTGTCACAGCGTTCATGCTGACAACCGCCACTAAAGGGGGGTTCTAACGGAAATGGCACCCCTACTTGGGGAACTGTCCAAAGACAATGCAATGAGACTTCTTCGAAAGGAGCGCTCACTGGGGTGTGCAACCAAAATCCGCTAACGATGGATGCTGCGATTGGACGACATCTCGCACAGCAGCACGTTGTTGTTTTCCTCCTAATTTCACGCTTCCTTCTGGGTGAAACGGCGATCGCATCGATGACACCCACGTTGATGTCAGGGCTTCTGATATGTCCCCGTCAAGCATCAACCCAACAGAAAAAAATGACCTGGCCACCGAAAGGTTCAAGTCACTCAACAGGGGAAATATGCGGCTCCTGGTCCTCGCCCTTGGTTTTCCAGGCACGATGCACGAACCCATATGGCATGAGTTGCCGTTGCCGCTGCGTGAAATACTGGCATACAGGAGTAGATGGGGTGTAGGTCTTTCTCAAAACATGAGGCCCCGTAGAACTGCGAGCCTTGATGTAAAGAGTCCAAACAGAGGCTCCGAATCTTGACACATGCCCATGAGGGTTCATACATTGAGCCCATACCAGCACAGCGTGAATTCTGGTGAAACGGAAGATGCCGACGGTGATGAGGCCTCCGCACGAAAGAAAGCGGGATTTACTTCAGAATGGCTGAGTTGGCCAAGCCATGCAAGTCAGCAGTGTTGTTTTGTGATTGCCTCTTGAGGCCTTATTCACTTGGCACAAAGATCAAGGTATGAAAGGCTAACTATTTGGGTCCATGGCTAAGAGTAGGTGAGTAGGCCAAAAAGCGGAACAAGAAAAAGGTTGGGACATCTGAGTGGAACAGCGTGAAGGAACTTGAAGGAACCTGGCCCCAAAAAGTGTGCAGTACGCATTGCCACGGCAGAACTCCAAGAAAAGAGAACAGATTGGCTGAATAAAAATGTACAGGGGAGGTGTGCCATGCCCCACTCGAAAAGGGCATGAAGTACATCAAGCCCACATCAGGCAAGGCCCTCTGATATTTACTTCGCTCACAAGATGCTGAGCCTATGAACATGTGTTAGTCACACATGCCAGGCGCAAGAAAGGATTCGCCCCTGTTCCCTACCAGGACCACTCTTCAACCAGTGTCTCTCATTTGATCTGCAAGCTAGCTTTGGGGACCCTCTCAAAAATTGCCGGCTTTGTCCCGCCAACTGCTTTGTCCATGTTCAAAGCCCCGAGTGCTGTCCTCAAGCATTAATTTCCTTATTGCCAAGGGGGTGAAGAAGGGAAGGTAGGTACTTGTTGGTTACATTTGCTGGATGCTAGGGTTTTGTAAGGCCACACGACGCTTGTCTGAACGTACGGGGACACTTTGGGGGGAGGCGGGGGGGGGGGGTATTGGGAGCGATATGAGGTCATGATCCTGTCCGAAAAGGAGATGGTTGATGCCACGTCGAATGACTTGGGTCGCAAAATACTAACAACTTCTGAGCAACGAGACCGGGACAAAAGAATTCAGCGAATTGAGCGAAAGATCCCTGTGCGAGAACCAAGTGAAGAGTCTTCGGCGCATGTGCTGTTTGCTACCTGATGGTGAATGTTTGATACGCAACTGGGGACCTTTCCTCAGGCGCTAAGCGTCCCTTGGATAACCATCGCTGAAGAGCACACTTTGGGGGTGTGAACCTAGAAATTGAGCGCTCCTGTATAAACTTTTACAACCAAGGTCCTAGAACCAAACCTTGAATTCTTGGCCGATGTGAGCGAAGGGATGTTTGCCAAATCAACCACGGATGGTTCGTTCCCACCTGGCAATAGGCAAAGTGGAGGAAACCCCAAATGGCAAAAGGGGAAAATTGACAAAGTTTGGCAATGGAACATGGGCTTTTGGAGCACTACAAAGAGTTGTCAAGCATGTGTTGGACTTTTCACGCAAACCAAATGACTGGCATGTTGCATGTTCAAAGAGCAAAGGACCGTCGGAGTCTAACGCATCCTGTTGCAGGAACGGGTGAGTTTAGTGGACAGCGATCTCGGGTATGTGAAGAATTCAGGTATCTTCGCCCAGGTCAATATGCTTTGCTCGAATGATGTAAACCATTGGTGAGTAAACTGCTTTGCTCGTGGAAATGATCTCGGGGCTCACATTGGACATGACATCCGCCTAAAGCAGCTGCGAATGACGAGAGATATGAGGCCATCGATGGCTCCAAAGGTCACAGCTTCCTTCGTAGGAACCCTTGTGATTGCAAAGTGTAAGCCCCCCTATCTGCAGGTCTTTTGAATTTTACTGGTATAATTTCCAAAGCACAGAGACGTCCCGTGTTGTCTTTTCTTTCCCGCTCTAAAAGGCGCTCAAGGCGCGAGAACCCGTGTGCCTTCCCTCCGAGCTGCCGAGTTCATCTCCACCTACTGATTCTCCTCGGAAAGAGTCGGTCCGGAAGTCCGGGCGTCTCAAGATCGGAACACGGGGGGCGGGGGGGGGGGGGGCAAGACCGTCACGGGAATCGGTGGCCCCGGTGGATTTCTTCTCGCACTAACCAAGATGACATGGAATCTTACACGAGTTCTTTGCAGGCCTGGGGCAACCACTTGAACAGAACAGGTGAAAATATTGGAATCTCAATTGTCCAAAAGGAGATGTCGAAGGACTGCTTCATCCGCCTCAAGCTTTTGTACTATCCCCTTAAGGACAATGTCTATATGGTTGGAGTTCTTGCTGCACATTTTGGTCTGCCATGTTTCGGGTCATGGAAGGCTCGATGGCTCATGTCTCCCAAACAGGGCATCTGCTGATTGTCCTGGTGGCAGGGAGCTCTTGACCTGCTTGGGGGAACAAAAGTAGGGGCCTCCCTCTAGGATCCCTTCATTTCCCCGGAGGATCAAACGATGCGCCCCCCCCCCCCCCCGCGTTCCTTCTGTGTGGGAAGATACCCGCTTGCTAGTGGGGCACTTCAGCGGTGGTCTTGCCTCCTGCTTCCAGACCTACACGCCCATCGCTGTGGAGCAGGGTTGAGCAAAAGTTGGATTTGTAAAAGGAGGTTAAACGACCAAACAACCAGTGCCATCTTTCAACCAAACTAACCTCAAAGGGACACCAAAGTAATTATTGGGCGTCTCAAAGAGATTAGGGCGTTCAAACCGTGGCGCGATGATCTTCCGCACAAACTCGCCGTACTCGCACTCGCCACCTCCGCTCAATCACTTGCTTTCGCAAGGAACCAATAATTAGATTCAGCTGGCAAAAGAGCTCTTTTAACTGGCTCAAAATCTGGGCAAGATAGCTTTATATGATTCCCAAATTGGTAAACAAGGAAACCCTCGTCAAGGCCCTTCATCACGGGCGAGCTCGCTTTATTTCCAGGTGAGTTTGTCATAATTTGCCCGGCCGGGATTTTCAGGTGAGGCATTGGCACCCTGATCATTTTGAGTCGCCATAAGGGCTTCAGGGGTCCACCAAAGGCTTCCCTTTACATTCGGCAAGGGGTTCTTCTCTGGTGGGGTTCCCACCTTGGAACCGGGGGGAAACCTCATGCGCTTGCGCTCGTCTCAAAGGGCAAGAAAGGCTCAGGGGGTTCACTCTCCGGGAACCCAAGCTATATGCAGCAGGGAATTCACAGCCAATCTTTGGTGTCATGGCTTAATTTTGAGAGCCTCACTCAGACTAGGTCCTCCAGTAGAGAGGTTAGAAGAAGGGTACCCTTTTTTTCTGCTCCCCCAGAAAAGGGTGAGAACGGGCACTACTGGGGGACCTAGAAGAGGTCTAGTTTCAGCCACTGGCGGCTGTCCAGGTGCCTGCACCATGAATGAAAAGGGGGCCAGCAAGGGTAAAACAGACAACAGGCTGGGTCGCTGGGCTTAAAGCTGATACAAGGGGTCCACCTGGCCTTTTTGCGTTGACACACATGTTTGACCCCGGATTCACGATAAATCTGGCGGTTCATAGGGAAGCGCAGTTCCCTCCCTAGTGACCCAGATCCTTCCGAAAAATGAGACACCACCATGAAGCAACCAGCGGAAATGATTTGACGGGCTTCTGGACAGCAGGATGCTAAGTGCAAACCAACACGTGAGCAATGTTCTGGAGTGAAGGGTATGAAATGGGCCACGCAAGTCGAACTGCACTAAGAGCCCAAACGTGTGATGAATGGTTGGTGGGGTTCACGCCCACTTCTGTTTGCTCAAAGGTGCCAAACATGTAAGATCTGAATGGCATGATCGCCTCGGTTGAAGAGACTCAAGGGCAAAGGCAAAAAAAAGTCGCCCATTCAGCAAATGGAACTCACTTGTTCAAACAAGGTGGAGATGGCGGTTTTGACGTCGGCTTTGGTCCGGTGAGGGAAGTCAAATCAGGGGTTAAACACCACTCGTTGGAATCGTTGAGCACTGGCTGTGACTGATTGGTGATGGAGCACTGGGTATGAATCGGTATGAACATCAAGATCTCCCTATGTATTCACTTGGGTAGCTTCAGTCTGGATACATCTTGTTTGACCAATCTTGCCGGTAAGCTTAACAAATCTGCGAGTTTTATAATATGTCCAAAACCTGGAATAAGAATTGGATCCCCAAGTAAAGGATCCTTATCATGGCGTTCGCTCGTTTTACCCCCAGGTGAGCTCGACTGCGCGCTTGAGTTGAGGCCAAGCCGCTGCCATCCTCATCCGCCGCCTGAATCATCTCCTCGGCCCTCGGAAGTTTGTGTTGGTCTCTCTGTTTGTCTCACTTGTTGAGTGGATGGCCCAAAAAAGTTCAAACTTTATATTTACCACTAAATTGGTCTTCCCAAAAAGTTTAAAGTTCATGAACTGAGGAAATGAGTGTTCATGTTCTGTGTATGTGTAAGTTCGACCCCATACTAATCAACCCAACCTCAGTTTGTTCATAGGGGGTGGGGGGCCCTCCAAACGTGGTCTGAATGCCCACTAAACCCAGGGACTCCCCCCCCTATTAATAAACTCGACATTCTGTGAGTAATCATTTGTGTCTCTCTGTGTGTGTGTGTGTATGTTGCGTGTGGCCAAAGGGCCCGAAGTCACTGAAATTCTGCGCTGCCTTCTTTTCAACCGCAGCTCTAAAACCCGCCATCCCCAAAACCCGCCGATTTCCGCAGCCTTAAGCCCCGAACCCCGAGCCGAGGGTTTCCTTTGATTGCGCCAAGCGGCTGCAAGGGGTTCACCTGGAAGCCCAGCTTGCAGAGCACGTCCTGCAGCTCGATGGCGTCGATGGTGCCGCTCTTGTCCTTCGGTTCCGCGCCCACTCCAATGAGATGGTGCAACTCATTCAGGGGAAAGGGGCCAGAAGTTGCTGTGCTCTTTCTTTGCCAACGACCTTTCCAAAGGGCCCAGAAATGACATGTTGAAGGCAAAAGGCAGGCGCCGGCTGCGGCACGTCGGAGAAAACACAGGTACTGCACAAATAAGTGCTGGGATCCTACGTCCCCCCCCCCTGGTGAAAGCACTGTATTGGCCTAAATAATGATAATGGGTTTGCGGGCTACTTGAAAAGCAAAGTGGTCCGACTAAGTATTGGGTCAAACAGTTGAATTTCTCGGTGTTGGTCGGAGTGGAATATTTGTTCAACCCTAACAGGGAGTGACTTGGTCTTTGACCCCCAGCAGAGACGTAAAACATTGGGCAAGCCGCTAGTCAGAGGAGAAACAAGCCTGTACTAAATTTAGGCTGAAAGGTTAAAGGTCGTACGAGTCGTATTTGTTGAGGATAAACCAAGCAACGAGCATCTCTGAATCTTGATTTCCTCATGTGCCTCTGATTTGGAGGTTTTGGTTGGCTCCCAAAGTGGGAGATGACGACATCGGGCTCATCCGCGGCGCGGATTTGAGAGAGGGTCTATCGTCCAAGGCGGGCGCGAATCTTGGCTTGCAACCAAAAGGCCACATGCCCAAAGGCTCGATGTTTGAGGCCATGACAAAACACGGGACCCGACATGGAGGGTATGAACAAATTTGGGTCGCCCTGGTGTTCATGAGAGATTTGGGTGGGCCCCACGTCTCGCCTTCCCTAAACCAACAAATTTCGGTCAGCTGCACGAGGAAAAAGAAAAGGTCGACCGCTTCCGCCTTCACCGCAAGGTCTACATGGAAGAAAGATTTCTAAGGCCAGACCCTTGACCAATGACAGTGCAGTCGATACTAAGCAGGGGTGAGCATGGCGCAATAATGTTAAAAGCTGGAGCCTTCGTCTGGTGGGTGTAAAATACACCAAACAAACTTTTGGTTTCTCTCTGGTTTTCTCTTCTTCCCCCAACCAATGTTTGGTCTGGTTTCCTGTCGGTGTTCCCTTTACAGCCAACCAGCGGGCTCCGAAACCCAAAAGGAAAACCAACACAATAAGTGGTTTTCAGTTTTCCCCGTGTCTTCTTTTGAACCACCTTAACATAGGGGAGCCCTCAAAGGTCACTTCCCCTTACGTATGGCTTGCAAGGGAGGCCGAAAGGAAACCCACTTTACGGGGTCGACACAAACCCGCTCCGTGGCTTTGATGGTTCAACAATCTGTCAAACCCAGCAGCTTGTTTTCTTTAGCTTGCTTTGCCAACCCCAAATCAGCGTGAAGACTGTTGGTGGCGGTTCGCCTTGTCGAAGATCTTGAAGGCGTTCACCAGCTCATCCTCCGTGATCATCGCCCGGTCGAACCTTGGCTTGGCAAAGACACAGCAGCGGTGCAGCCCCATGCTTGCTCGCTCGCCTACTTGCAATCAGTTAGCGTACATGCCCTGCGTCCAACTTGAGACATGTACCGCTGTGCCGCTTGTGCTATTCGAAAACCCTTCTGGGTACGTGACATGCGCCCTTAATTAAAGGGAAGCTACCCATTCCATTGCGGAACACAAAGCAAGAGAAGACACCAAAAAAGACAAAGAACCCTGCAAAAACCTCCTGAAAGCAAGAGAAGACACCAACCAAACACAGACACCCGGAAGGAAAAAAACACGCGTGCTGTTCGTTTCATGCCCGGCAGCTTCGCCATGAGCTTCACGAAGCCTCAGAGAGATGGATCCCCAGAATGGCGAGAGTCCTGTTTGGTGTCCCTTGCATGAAACCAAGCTGAAAAGGGTGTGCTCAATAAACAAACATATATATATATATATAACATACCTATATATATATATGTATTTATGTGCATATATATATATATTATATACACACACACTTCAGGGTTGCTCAAACAAAGGGGGGACCCGGGGAATAGGAAAAACACTCGCTGCTTACATGCGCCGTGTTTGGGCATCTGATAATGAAAATTGAGCATCACCAAGGCCGAAAAGGCACTATCCTGGGCTAGGAAACGATTCTTCTGCTTCCCAAGTCTTGAGCAAGCCTACCGGTCCGCCATTTCTTGCCACGTGGGGCGAAACGAAACGGAGAAGCCGACTCAGTCAAATCCGATTCCCAATGACCACAGCCTGCTTTAGTTTACATCCAAAAGACTTCAACATGTAAGGATGGCCTTGTGCAACCGTCACTGAAGTATGTTCAGGTTGGCAAAACCGAAACTGGTTGAAGCCAAACGAGTCGAGCGTTGGGTAATTGAACTGAGCTCGTTGTGTACCGAAAAGAACAGAGACTGTCATTCGGCGAGTGTTGCCAAAGCGGATGCTGGAAAAGATGGCAACGGCTTGAGAGACCATCGGGCGCTGAAATTCGAGCTGAATGATTTGTCTGCCAACAGCAGCTCAACCAAATGCCGTGGCCCTCGAAAGGGTAAGCTGTTGTGGGCCAGCACTAACCAACTAACTAGCTAGCTAGCTAGCTAGCTAGCTAACTAACTAACCAACTAAGTAACCCGACAATCCAAATCACAAGCAAACTCAGTCACTCACTAACTAATCACCCAACCAACTACCAACTATCCCAATAAGCCAATAACCCCAAAACCAACTAAGAGAGCAAGCAAGCAAGCAAGCAAGCAAGCAAGCAAGCAAGCAAGCAAGCAAGCAAGCAAGCAAGCAAGCAAGCAAGCAAGCAAGCAAGCAAGCAAGCAAGCAAGCAAGCAAGCAAGCAAGCAAGCAAGCAAGCAAGCAGGCAGGCACGCACGCACGCGCACGCGCACGCGCGCACGCACGCACGCACGCACGCACGCACGCAACAAGCAAGCGAGCAAGCCAGCCAGCACGACGGCACGAAGGCACGCACGCACGCACGCACGCACGCACGCACGCACGCACGCACGCACGCACGCAACAAGCAAGCGAGCAAGCCAGCCAGCACGACGGCACGAAGGCACACACGCAAGCAAGCAAGCGCCGAACCAACCGACAGACCGACCGGCCGGCCAGCCACCAAGAAACTAAAAAACCAACAAATCAATCAACCATCCAGCTCACCAGCTCACCAGCTGACTAACTACCCCCACTCGGACAGTTTGCTTCGCCATCCAACATGCGCCCAAGTTTCGGAAGCTCTTGACTAGACTCGCAGAACTGTTGGCATTTTGGTAGCAAGTCTATGGTGGCAGTCATATACCTGAGCATGCTTCATAGGCTGCCACATGAAGAGTGGCGCTAACGCGTTGACACTGCACTGCCCGCTGACGTTTCAGGCAACAAATCGTGGGCAACACTACACCTACAGTACCCGCGCCATCCTTCATTGGACCCCTTGGTCCCCCTGAGCTGGCTCCAAAACCATGGCAACAAGGCAAGCGAATACCTGCGCCTATGTATACTCGGGCCTGTCCCCAACTGACCTTCAGCTACTCAGGTTTGGCTCAAAGCAAAGTGCGCCGCGCCGAGCCGCGCTGGAAGTCCATCACGCCCTTGCCGTGGCTGTCGATGTCATTCATGACCTCAGAAGTGGAAAGGGGGGGTCTGAGCGCATGAGAATTCACCAACCTGAAAAGACAAATGGATATCTCCCGGCCAAGGAAAGTCCTTTCTATTTCGGCCGAAGTCCTTTCTACTTCGGCCGAAACAGACGACAAATTGAAAATCGGCTGCTGTGCTGAGATTCGGCTGACGGACATGTGAAATTCAGCCAGCGCTGTCCGCATCGTCCCAAACCTCTCAATTCATTTTAAATCGACTGGGTGCTGCAAACTAGGGCACCTTGGCCCGACAAGGAAAAGCGAAAGGAGCTTCACAACAGGACAAGCAAAAAGTAATGTTGACCCCGTAATAATCAACCGATATTTGTTAATAGGAGGTGTTCCCCTCCAAAAGTGATATTTCCCCAAATCCCCCCCCCCAGTTATTAAACTGGGGTTGATTGATATGGGGTCAATATTCCTAAAATCACAACACACACACACACACACGCACACACGAGAATGGCCTGGCAGGAAACTTTGCCCCGTGCAATTTCCAAGCTTGCTCTTATCGCGCAAATAGCGACCATCCCGTCCGCTTCGACCGCTTCGACCGTTTCGACCGCTTCGACCACTAACATAACATTTTGTGTCGAGACCAGTTGGACTCCTTCTATTCTCGCCAGAAACCGCCTCAACGCTGCGGAAGCTTCAAGCCTCGATCGCTCTTGAAGCCTGCCACGAAAGAATGCTTCCCTTGCAGCCGGGCAGCAGTGAGGAACCTCAGAGCAGCACCCAACAAGGCTGGAGATCTGCTATTTCGTGTTTTGGGAAGCTTCTTTGGCCATCCAAGCTGCGCCAATAGTCGGCTAAGGGTGATTTAGGGTGGGAATAGGGGTGTTGTGGTCAAGGGTTTACTTCGGGTTGCTTCAGTCAGGTTGGTCTACGGCAGGTGGAGGGTTGGGCTAGGACTGCCTAGGAGTGTTGGTGTATGCTTGCTTTAGGATAGGTTTAGTTGTTTTTTGAGGCTGGTGGTCAACCATTGTTTTACGGCCGGTTTGATCTACCCTGTGCTCCGGCCGGGATAGGCTTATGCTGGATTTAGGCGGGGTTTTGATCATTTGGAGAACAACGCCACAAGCCAAAAGGCGCCAAAGCTAAAGAACAAAACATGGAGCAACACCACATCCCAAGACTCAGCAGCAGCAGCAGCAGCAGCAGCAGCAGCAGCAGCAGCAGCAGCAGCAGCAGCAACGATAACAAAAAGAACAACTCGACACCCTCGAAACCCTCGAAATCCTCTCAAAACCCTCGAAACCCAGGAAAACCCCCGACTTCCGAGGCATTTTGTTTCCAGGCGCTGCTTCTCCGTAGGCTCCTCCCCAAGCCAGCTCAGTGCCAGCCTGACCTGGCCGGCATCGATGAGGCCATCCTGGGATCGAAGGACTCAGATGCCGGGGGGGGGGGGGTTGGGCGTCTGGCGGGTCCCTGTTTGTTTCCAAAGGAAGCAACCCCATATGGGTTGCTCCCCCCTGTTTGTCCAGCTTATTCATCCTTCATCAACACTCCAAATAAGAAAAGCGGTTTCCATTTGGTTTCCCTTTGGTCGGGAGATTGAGATGGCTATGTCCCCTAGAGATACAGGGGTGTTGCCACCACAGGAGGTTTAAGCTTTAGAACCCAAGAGACAAGGTCGCTTGGGGGTCTTGAAGGGTTGCGGACATTGTCCAGTTCTGCGTTACCACGAGGCCTTTCCAATGCCAAATCCTGCACTCATCCAATGGTTCCCCACAAAAGCTAAACAGCCCAACCTCGTTCCCACCGTGGGATGTTATTTGCTTCTAGCAAAATGGCTACAAAGATGTGTATACGTATATGTATGTAGACAGTGTATGTGCATATATATATATATACATACATACATACTTATATGTATATATTTCTTCTTGGCCAAACTCGCATGAAACAAGGTGCCAAGTAAAAAATGTCTCCTTCAACCATCGCTCCTACCAAACGACATGTATCTCACAGTGGTCCAAAAGGTGTTCTTGAAAACCAAGAAGGGACATATGGCTGTGGGTCAACACCAATGGTACCATTTTGGGGTAGGTGCACCCCCCCCCCATTTTAGCCTATAGTGGGGATTGGGATTTTGACCCATGGCCATATCGGCACGAGAGCTTTGTGGGCGCTTGCCCCCGTACGAGAAGCCCCCAGCACGTCGTAGAGGCGGAAGGCCCAGCAGAAGTCCACCAGCTCGGAGTCTCGGAAGCCGCACCTCGAAAGCGGACGAGCGGACGAGCGGACGAGCGGGTCCCAAACGGGTCCTTGGGAGCAACGAGTTGTACACGGGTGTCCTTTTTGGCTGAAAATCGATGGGTTTCCCTGGGAGTTGATTGAACCAGGCAAACCAGGAACCGCCCTCTATGTTTAAGCCAAATCAACCAAAAAGGACGCCTATGAACCTGTACCTCTACCTTGGGGTAATTCAAAAATGGTTCCCTGCCCACTTCAAAAGGAACCCCTTGCAAAAAAAAAAGAGGGAGAGAAACAAACGCACAGGAGGTCTCGGATTCTTATCATGGGACAACCCGTCAGTTGGCAAAAAGCTGAAGTCCTAGCATCCAAGCAAAATGCACCAAAGATATTTCATCCTGAGAATATGGTGCAAACAACAGCAGGCGTTCTGGGAACATCTGCCCATTTTGTAAAAGGGGAATGTACACAGCCATACAGGTGCATATCTTTTGTTTTTATGGCTGTGCAATGGGTTGAGGGCGGTTGAGGATTGGTTTGGTCCCGCTCTTGGGGGGAGTGGTTAGGGGTTATGGGCTGGTCAAGGGTTGGTCTAGTTCATGGTCGCTGTAGACTTGGTTTAAGATGAATTGGGATTCGTTTAGGCTCGGTTCTAAGTCAGCTCAGGATTGTTTTAGGGCCGGTTCAGGAAGGGTTGGACTGGTTTAGGGTTGGTATGGAGTTAGCTTAAAGGTTTAGAGCTGGATTTAGTTTAGGATTAGGCTCAGTGGGTTAGTTTAGGTTGGTTCTTATGGGCTACAGGCGTTGAACAACCTTTTTGTAAGGCAGCGAGAAACGTGACAGCTCCCTTTTTCACTAAAGGACCACGATGCCTGACCACCCTACTCGACAAGAACTCCCCAGATAGAGCCACATGGCTGGGCAGGCTAGGTCAACTCCAAAAATGCGGATCTCTTTCGTGACTCACTTTTCTCCCTGCGTTTGAGGCCGAACCAAGGTCTGTGCAAAACCGGATTGTGGTCCCTTCCAATGGAAGGCACTGTACTTGCGTGCCTGCGAACCTCTTGTTCTATTGCAGCCTAGTGGCTTGTCGGTCAACACGTAGGACTCCGGAACGCCATCAATCTTCAGCTTTGCCTCAACTCTGTCGCCTCAGAGGGAAACCTTACCAAGGCTTCTTAAGCCCCATCTAAGTACCAGTCATTTCAAGACAGGGAGTGGGAAATGACCACTTCTGTGATACAACAGAAAGGGCTTCCCAAAAACTAAATCCATATAAAGGGAATGAGATTCCAACTTGATCACAGAAGTGGGGACAAACCCCGAGTGATCCCACAGCCCTGTTTCAAGACATAAGCTGGCAGCTCTGAGCGCGAAACGCCCTCTCTGGCCACCCTAGGCCAATCCTTTACCGCATTGCAAATGGATCTGGCAAATAGTGTCTGTATTTTGTGCGCTGCCGGTTTCCCCAGAGCGAAGCTCCCCTAGCACGGCCACGTTTAAGGCGGGCGCTCAGGCCGTGAAAGGGTTTTGGAGTCTGGATGCAACAAATACTACGTGCTGAGCTTGAACTCCTGAATATTCAACAAGGCCAACCGCAAGTGTGTGTGTCTGTGTTACACAGAAAGTCTGGAAAAACAAACAACAGAACATGCCCGTCATCTTTCCGTTTCCTTCTGGGGACATCCTTTCCAAACCCCACGGGGGCGAGCTTCCTGGCGCAAAAACAGCGCCTTCCCTCGGCCCCCGGCTGGCCAGCATGGCCGCTTCAGCGGTCCGGCCGCGGACGTCTTGAGCAGAGACGTTGCGCGGAGCGGATTCCCCGGTCCCAACCCCCGAGCCCGTGGGGCAGCCCTCTCTTCGGGAATTCTTCGGTAAAATTTGGGAGGTTAGATAAAATAGATAAAGAGACCTGGAAGCGCGGCCTTATGTTTCTGGAAAGGAGAGGGTGTGGGGTGAGGGAAAGGGGGTATGACGTGATAAAAGCGATCGGCTCAAGCTTGATAAGATGCTTCTCAGCTGTTTGAGGAAAACTCAAAAGGGCAAGCAGGCCCTGATGTTTAGATAGTTGCATCTACCCTGACTGTGAGAGCTTGCTCATGTGCTAAAAGGAAAGCAAGCCCGGATGTTTGCAGTGCGCTCATGCCTGCAACAAGCATGATACAAATCCTCCGTCCCCCAAAACCTCGTGGCTTTAGGCAGTTCTAGAGACCTATCCCGTTTAACACCCCAAACCTCCGGGCCATGCCCGTCCCTCCCATGGAGTTGCGACCCCGGGCTGAGTCTCCGGCGACAGCTCTCAAAGCGGGCGACCCTCAAAGCCGTCCATGGCTCGCACGCCAAAAGCTGCGAATGGATGGCACATGCGTCTCATTGGACCTAAGGGTTGAACAAATCACTACATCATTCTTCTGCATCTGATGAATATGTTTGGCGTGACAAATAATCGATAATTGAATTCACCACATTTGGGTGAACACTTGTTTCAATTCGCATGAGTTCATTAAGTATGTATGTTGTCTCTCATTCTTCAACCCAGCATGGGAACCGGCAGGAAGTAAAATACGACAAGGTGTTGAAAAGCTGCTAAAGGGGCAGCTAAGTTGTTGGATTGCTGGTGTGGTTCATTCGTGGGTTCCTTGGTCAGTTAATCGCTTGGTTGGCTCTTTGGTCCCGTTGGTTGATAGTTTCCTTGCTCGGCTACTTCGGCAGGTCTCTCGAACTCTACCAGTGTTGAGCCTTGAGTATCATGACAGTTCTACCCTGAGTCATGGTCATCCACCCCCTGACAAAGGGTGTGAAACAGGCAGACTCTAGAAACAGTGTGATGGGTGTGTGTGTGTGTGTCACTTAGAATCTGGAATTCAAAGCTCGCTGGAATCGGACGGAAACATGTTGACATAGAATTGTTGACAAAGCGTCAGAGCGCGGATTGGCTTCCAAATGCCCACAGCCTCGCAAAGCCTCTTGGACGTTGGATCTGTAAGACTGCAAGGGTGTTCCTCTATCCCCTTCCGGAATTCAAGTTGTACCCCCGATAACAGGGTCCAACCTGATTTTCAGCCAAAAGGGTCAAAATGCAAACCGTGGTACACCTCTATTCTCTAGCACAAACCCTTGAAACAGAAGCATCCAGAGAAGATAAGCCTACTCAACAATTCATGCACCTAAAATTCCGACATCCCGGTACAGAACCTGCATGCTGGGCGACCCAAAATCAAGCTCTCCATGACTTGACTGACTCGTGCGTGCCGCCCAGAACGTTCCAGCGATCCGAAGCTCCACCCAAACGCATCGGCCCCAGCCTCCAGCAGCTTGGTGCCCTTATAGCCCTGCCGCCCCCCCTCCACCTTCTCCTGCACCATGCCTCTCAAAAGGAGTCCGAGGCAGAAGCTCCAACGAGTGACCCGTTTGGTAGCAGTACAAAAGCAACCGGTGACCGTTGAGTGCAAAATACTTGGAACCAATTCTTGTCGGCTTCAGCAGTCACCAACAAAAAGCAGCTCAGAGGGTGCCACTGAAGAGATGGCAAGAAGAACATCCGGCCAAAAAAAAAGGACTCCATGTCGACCTTTCCGGCGTTCCCGCCAGTGGGAATGGGCTCACTCTAAAGAAAGGGACACCTCCCATTCATTAGACGCGTATTCATCCTGCTACAATGAAGTACCCAAACAAAGAGACCCTTAGAAAGCTCTTCCCTCGTAGACGGAGTCAAACTGCATGTTGAACATTAGCAGGTCCAAAGGAAACTTCCCACAACCTTTTGACAGGCATAACAAGAGCGCATGCACAAAGTGTATGGCTGAAGCTATGCCCTGCTAACCTACCATTGCCAAGGTTGAAACCTGGCACCTGTTCCTCCACTGCGTTTATGGAAAATCAACTAAAACTTGCAGGACTAGAAATCCAATCAAATTCCTTTGGCGAGCGGGAGGTCGTTTTGTTTCGCTGGAAAGGTTGATTGCTCTGTCGGGACGAAACGATTTCCGTTGAAAGCAACGGGTTTCCCGCTTGAACATCAGGCTCCCACATTCGAATGGAAACAAAAGCAAAGCAAAAGCCAAATAGAATACGTACATGTTCCAGTCCACAAGGGGGGGTCCACGGCCTGGAAAAAGAAAAAAGAAAACATATACTCTCACCCGGCCACAGACAGGAAGGCGAAGGAGAAAAAAGACGAGTCACCCACTTCTGGGCCTTCGGCCGCCACGCGCGTCTCGTCCACCTGACCGCCCAGCGGCACAGAAGACCTGACGTGTCACGGGGAAAATGAGTTTCCAGTTGGCGCTTCCGCTTCAAACCTGGGGGGAACTCCAATGAGGCAAAAAAAAAATGTGCATATATACATATATAATCATATATATAGTATATATATATATATATGGCTGTGCGTCAAAACCAAGGGATCCCATTTTGGGGCTAGGTGAATTCACCACCCATTTTAGAACCTATTTTAGTGGGGATTGGGATGTTCACTGGGGGTTACGATTTGGCTTTTGACCCATGGCCATATGGCTGTGGGTCAAAACCCTGTACCCCTGGTGAACATCCAAATAGCTGGCAAATGGATGTTCATCCACCCCAAAATGGGATCGCCATAGCTTATGCAACCCATGGCCATATCCCCAGGAACCCTTCCGGAGCTGCGCAACCCGGGGAACCCCAAAAACACAGAAATGTATCCCCAGCAATTTCCGGAACCCTTCCGGAACCCCAGCCGTTAGGGGGATACTTTCAGATTATGCGTCATATGTAGTCTATCCCAAAATACGACTTAAACAAGTATTTATAACCCAGAAGAGTCCTTGTTCAACCACAATGTTGAACGAAACATGATTGACATATGCCTCCAAATGCTTGCTCGCTTCAAAAAACAGGCATTCGAAAAAGAAGATCCCAAGAGGAAATGACATCTCTACAAGAGAGGGAGTCCTCTGCAAATGGAAGTCTCCCATTCATCAAGGAGTTGCTTCATCGGTTGCCACGATTTCCCCAAAGCATGTCTGCTCCCCAACCAGCGCCCAACTTGCGTAAAATCCCACACTCAAAAGCTCGCCGTTTTGTGAATCCCATATCCAAACGAGTCCCAGACTACCAGCGACTTTCTCCCCCCACAGCAGCCACAGGAGAAAGACTCGCCATCCACCCCACAAGTAGTCTTGAAACATGCAATATGTTGAAGGCCCGCCCAAGATGCAAAACACTTAATAAAACATATCCCCAGGACCAGGTAAAATCAACTGAAATATGTTTTTGCTATGCTTTTAAACCCCGAAATAAGAATTCACATTCCCCGGTTAGAAGACACTTTCATAGGCCGGGCTCAACAAAATCCACCCACTGGCAACCTGGAACTACTTTGAGCGCGACCCCCGAGGGAAAAACCGGCACCTTCTTGATTCATAATCCACAGGCCCAATGCACGGGTTCCGCTCAACCAGCAAGCAGCCAAAAATATGCCATTTCCCACCATGGACGGGATACGTCCCTAGTTCTTCCGTCAAGCTTCGAGGGAAGCAACTGCTTTGGGCCAATTGACATCAGTGGAACCCCTCTATTTTCAACCAAGCTGACCTAAAAAGGACACTGCTTCATCCCAGGCTTCGTGCTTGAAGGTTCGTGAGTCCCCATGTCCCCAACCCCAACTTGACCATGGAAAGGAAAGTTTTGCTGAAACATTGAAGGGGATGGGAATCCCCACTACAATATCTCCCAAGACCTCACAAAGATACGGGTATTTGTGTATTTATTTTGTATTTTATGTTATTATATATATACATATATATATTTGGGGCGGGGGGGCGATGGGGGCCCTTTGGTGACGCTTGGGATTTATGACCACGAGCCTTTGGGAGGGTTGTCCCCATTCAACAGCTTTCTCCTTTCGGGTCCGTAGTTCTCAGGGTGTTCCAATGGCACCAAACCCACATGGCTGTGGGTCAAAATAGGGTAGCCCCAAATGGTAGCATAGTAAATACAAACATGGACTCAAATCTGCCTTCCCCTGGTGTTCAAATTTATGCCCATATCAAATTGGCAGCTCTTCGTCGTCGTCACGGCAATCGTAAGCCATTCGCAGGCATTCTGCAGGCGGCTTCCATCACGATTGAACCGATGCCGCGCCGTCTGTAAGCCTTCGCAACCACAACCAAACGCCCGAACGTCGATCTCATGCAAAAGCCTGCAGCATCTCAAGCCAGCCCTTCTAAACGACGCGTGCCTAGACACATGTTTGGAAAATATCTCCAGCTTTTCGCAGCAAAGTGAGGAACATGATGACAAGAACGTTGTTTGGCATCGCTGGAGGCGAGTTTCCCTTCAAACGAGTGCAAGAAGGGTACCCTCAAAACATCACGTGGCTATGGCACAAACAAGTGTACCGACATGGTGCCTTTGTAAATGGAACCAGCAACTAAAACCTGCGCGTCCCTGGCTCTTTTGAGCCACACCCAACATACTGTGGATGGACGCAATCCTGCACCTGAGAAACCCTGGAATGAGTTGATTTCCCTGTAAATACCAAAAACCGGTTTCCCATAGTGTCAAAGCGGAGCTTGAGATTCAGTGTGCTCCTAATACGGCAGAGAGTAGGGTCTTTGGGGATCCTCTGCTCTTTTGAGCAACACCCAACATAGGAAACCCTTTCCAAGTGAGACTTCGGGAAATAGATGACCCTGGTAGATGAGAAAACACCACCAGGTACGCCAGGAATCGCCATCCATTTTTCAACCAAAACCACCAGTCAAGGACACCTATGCTCA